GTATGTGGTGCTGAGGATAGAACCCGGGCCGCACACATGCCAGGCGAGCGCGCTACCGCTTGAGCCACATCCCCAGCCCCAAATGGGGACTCTTGACAGCTGTCCAGGGACTCAGTATAGACCTCCAATCACAGCGATGTGAAATAGTGGGGGCCCTGGAATGACTGGAATTGTACCTGAATCAGGAGAATCTGGAGTTTAGGCACTGTTTCTGTTCCTCTTGGCCTCCTTATTGGCCAAGAGTTGGTTCCAATCACGGTCAATGCCAGCATGGGTAGCTCAGCCTCCCCAAACCTGCCTTTGACCCATCCCAGCCTCAGGAGAAACCAGGTCCCTCCACCTACTTGAAGCCACTTCAGGTGTTACCCCTCTGGGGGAACCTTCCAGGGAGTCCAGGAGACCCCACCTCCTGTGAGGTCCACCCGGCCCCAGACTCGACTTCTTGTACCCTTCTCATGCTGTGAGAGGGAAACGGTGTTCTACTCCACTGTATTCCCAGCACGAACATCTGGAACACCCAAGGAGCTCGTGTTTAATGACAGCCAACACCTCCACTGTCAATTTAGCAGCACAAAAGCCGTTTTGTGGAAAACCTCTTTATACATAAGGCCAATGCTCCCACTGAGGCTGGCCTTCGGGTTTGCAATGCGCCCTGGCTCACCTGGGCCGCGGCCACCTCACACACTTACTGCGTGCACAGTGTGCAGCTAGGAGCCACCCGCTGCTCTCTAGCTTTTACTTGACCCGTGAGCCAGCCCTGAACAAGGGAAGGAGCACAGAAAGGCACCTGGGCCATCGAGTCCTGGGTCTGCCACTCACGAATGTGTCTCTGACCCTGCACCTCAGATTCCTTCTCGGCAAAGCCACGTGGTAAGACAAATCTTCCTTAAGATCCCTTCTATGATCCATGGGCCGCCAGGTCACAGCTCTGCCTTGGGCCAGGATAGCTGGCCCTGTGTCTACGAAATCCCCCGGAACTTCCTCTTCTTGTATTACCTTGGGAAGGGTGTCGCCAAACCTCACCAGCAGCTCCCCTTCACTCCCCTCTTCATTTTCTCCTTCCTGGCTCTTGACAAAACCTGTTGGAGGACAAGAGGACTGTGTGGGGAAGACAGGGCCGGGACGAGACCCAGACGGTACCTTGGGGTGTCCCCCAGCCAAGGAAGATGGTCCCCCTCCTCTTAAATCTTTGGGGGCCACAGCTGCATTTAGAAATCAGGCTTGTTGGGGATTCTGTTTCTGTGCAGGGAATGGTCATTTGCCAACATGGTCTAAGTATTTTTAGGAAAATCAAGGAGATCCCCCCTCCTTTTCGGCTCTCTGCAACAAACTGGGCAACAGAGAAATCATCACATCACAGGCAAGAAGATTAGGAAACATGACAGCTCGTCCCACGCCACTCAGGATAGCAGCCTTTTGAAATTCTAATTTAAGCTTCCTAATATGCTGTTTCCATAGAAATGTATGCAAATGTCTCGAGAGTTTATTAAAGACACCCATGCAAGAATCCTCAACCTTTCTGGAACTGCTCTGCCCCTGCTTGGTGAACAGGGTCCTGGGGACTTAGCGGCCAAGGCTGTTCTATCACCAGGACTGGGTCTTACTGAGACCAAGGAGGAAGGGACACAGCGGGCAGAAGTATACCTGGCAGCATTCCTGATTTCTGGAAGCAGCACAGCTACGCCTCCATTGTGCGGTTAACTCCCTCCCTCTTCCGCGCCACCATCCAGACCAACCCAGTGAGAACTAGGAATCATGCACATCTCCTGCCTTGGAAGAGCTGGAGACAATCTGTCTAGAAATGTCACCCAGAAAGGGTGTTTCCTAAACACAGCTGGTGTTAAATGCTGCCGGCTGAGGAGGCTGTCCAGCTCTGGCTGGCTTCGGGATGCTATGGGCCACTGGGGAAAGATGCTGGTGGTCTCCACAGAGCAACAGGGGCCAGGGCGATGGTAGGTGGGTGGCAGCAGCTCTTCAGGCCCTGTGCTGGCCTTTATAAGCTCCAGAACTTGGCCCCAAACTCTCTGGCTGAGTCAGAGCCCAGCATGGGGCAAACCAACGGAGTTATAGTGCGCCGAGTTATAGTACAGGTTCCTAGGGGCTGAGAGGTCCGAACACCAATGGCTGCAGGTTGTCCCCTGGGCCCTCCCACAGCAGCCCCATTTCTCTGACCCCACGAGGTCCATCAGAGAGTCCTCTCCAGCGAAAGGAGAAGTGGAGTGGGATACCACTTATGAAGAGGATTATGAGAGAGGTGGCCTGGCTGGGCGCTGGGGCGCATGCCTGTAATCTCAGGGGCTCAGGAGGCTGAGGCAGGGAGATCGTGAGTTCAAAGCCAGCCTCGGCAACTAAGTGAGGCACTGAGCAACTCAGCGGGACCCTGTCTCCAAATAAAATACAAAAAAGGGCTGGGGATGTGGCTCAGTGGTGGAGTGCCCCTGAGTTCAATCCCCAGTACCTCCCACCCCTCCAAAAAAGAGTGGTGGCCTGTCCCACCCAAAAGACCACTTACTCTCTAAACAGCTCGAGTGGAATTCCAGGTAGAATTTAGTTTGGGACTTGGTCTTCAACGTGGCATAGCACTGGAGAAACTCGATCTGCCCCTGGCTGTCGACAGTCCCAGGACCTGGAACAGGTGAAGATAGGGATTGAGGGGCGCAGTGGGCCTGGAGGTGCAGCACGTCCTGTCGGCTGTTCACCAAGGTTTCTTTCCTCTGGGTGCTCTTTCCCCAGGCTGAGCTCCCGCTTACAGTTCCAGGAAGGGAAGAGGAGGAGGAAGGCAAGGTTTTCCTTGAGGTGAGGCTACAACGAAATCCACAGCCCCTGCTGAGTGTTCCAGATGACAGTTACAACCTCTCTGATCAATCATGGGCTGGCCATGTGGGGAGCAGAATGGAAAGAAAAAAAGAGTTCAACGAGCCAAGATCTACTCTTGGTTTTGCTACTGAAGCTGTGTAGCCTTGGGAACCCCCTTAATCTCCCCAATCTCCCCACTAGTTCCAACAAAGAGTTTGTAGAAAAGCCCGGAAGCTCAGAATCTAAATTTGTTCGGTTTTGGATTCAGATAAGTGAGGGACAGCTGCTCTTTCTTCCTCAGGTGTGTGCTTATCCCCAGTCCTCCTTCTGGGCTCCGCAAGCTCTCTGGTGCTAATTAAGACTGCGTTAATTCGGTGGTGCTTTTGTAAGTATCCTGAAGCGGGTTTTAAACAACTATGTAAATTCTGATCCACTTGAGAACAAGAACAAATATCTCCTTTCTCTATTCCTCACATTCTTCCTTCTCTTCTTTCTCCTTCGAAGCCCCACAGCACCTAGGCTGCTCTGGCAGAAAAGCCATCAAAGCTCAACCCAGGTAACCAGTATTTTTGAGCATCTCCACGTACTGACTGGTCCCAACAGTGAGGACGCTCCAGCCAGCTCCAGCCAGCTCCAGCCAGCAAGAGACGGGGAGGAGACACCGCCAGCCCATGAGGGCTGCAGGAGCTCAGGGGAAGTGCAGATGGGTGGGAGCAAGGGGGAGGGGAACCTAAAGGCTAGAAGGTTCTGTGGAGCACAGAGGCAGAGCAGGGAAGGAGGCCAGAGGGAGGCCAAGACTGGTAGAGAGGGAAGGTCACACTGCTGAGGCCCCACGTGTCAGGCCTGTACCATGGGAAAAGCATTCCAGGGGGTGTCCCAGCCTCCCCCTGCCTGTACCTAGGTCCCCCACACTCAGCCTCTGTAAATGAGCCTGAATCGTATGCTGCACAGAATAGGGAGGTGCAGAGATGGCAACCCAAGCCCCTAGATACCCAGGCCGCAGGCTGGATGGACACACACCTACCGGGACGAGGGTAGCCTGGCAGCCGGGGAAGATCTGAGAAACTACCTGCAAATCGAAGTATCCCTTACTCCAGTATTTCCCACGACTCAGCCATCTACGTCCACCTTCAAATATTTTTACCATCAGACCTACTTTATAATCATATCCATATTTCCCTAAGAGAGACTCACTTTAAAAACGTGAGGAAGGATACACCGCCATACTGAATAGAAAACCAATGGACTCACAAGAGACAAATTTTAAAACGTATTAGAACACGTCACTGATGAATGTTCATTCCTATCCTGCACGCCCAGAATCATCGTTGGTGGTAAACAGGCTACACCTCAGTAGACATGGATTTCCTGTTTTTCAGACTACATTTCAAAGTTTCAAGGGCTGTGGCATTTGCCAAAGAGAGTATTTGAAATTGCGATGTGGCCTGGTCATGACAGACAGGATCTGTCCTGAAGCCCAGCCTTCTTCCAACAGACAACGGGTGGCTGCAACCAGAAGGCAAGTCCCCAAGACCCTTCATCTCTGAGGAAAACAGAAAGCAACACCCCCCACCGCTTACCATTCTTGGAGACAAACTGGGAGGTGACCCCTGCCTCGAAGGTGGCAAAGACAGGGCTGTGATCACTGGTCATGATGTCGCTGGTACTGCCTACAGGGAGGGGAGGGCATTTCTAAGCGAGGTTCGCCATCTGGTCAAGCTGCAGACGGCGAACCCACCGCAGGGACAGGCTGAGACCTGAAGCTGAGGAGGCGGAGGGTGGATAGCACCGCTGAGACCAAGAGCCCTGCCGATGCCGGCCAACCCCAGGGCTCCTGCCTGAGCGTGCACAGCCAACACCAGACACCAGCAGCCCAATCCAGTCCAGCCCAGGGAACAGGGAGCAAAGACACATTTGTTGTTTTAAGACACTGAATTAGGAAGTGGTAAGACCTCCGCCGTCGCCTGGCTCTCTGCACAGGTGGCTAATGGAGGCAGAGGGCCGGATCTTCCTAGAAGTAAGGACTGCCCTGGGATCTGCAGAGGTGAGAAGGAGAAATGCTGATGCAATTGGCCCCGTGTGGGGAGGAGTCCCAGGCCCTCAGGTGAGCTCAGGGGTGGAGGGGGACACGGAGGGAACAGAGGGAGGAGGCTAGAGCGGGCCCTGGCTGTGGATGTGGGAGGGGAGGTGGCCTTGCGTGAAGTTCGTCTAGTGAGGCCACTTCTGGGAGACAGAGCCAAATAAGCAGGGTCCACGGGTTAAACTATCCTGGGGCAGTTGTTCTGGGCCCTTCTGGGGAGCAGGTGACATACACAGACAAAAAGAATAGGTATCAGCTCAGCATATGGGCCCAGAGCTCAATGCCGGGGTCTGCTGGCCTCCAGAGAGGCGATCACAAGGGCAGCCAACCGGCAGAGGCACGACCCCTCCTATTCCTCTCCTCACCATGAGCGGCCCCCAACTGGAGGGGCCTCTGGCCTGGGACTGCTCATGGGCGCTGCCAGGGACGCCACTGTCTGGGAATTTGCAGCCTCTTAATTAACACATGATTCTCAGTATTCAAAACGACTCTGCTCTATGAATTTTTAAGCTCTCTCTCTGCAAGTAATGGAAACTAATCTGTAGGTTTAAGAATAAACATGCTGGGTGATTAAGATCACCCGACATCCCTTAAACTTCAAGGTTCAACAATTATTTCTTAATCATTTTGGGAATGCATTCTATAAATTATTTGCTTTGTTTTAGTATTGTTTATTATACCTCCCCCCTCCCCTTGTCCTGGAGATTGAGTCCAGGGATGGTCAACCACTGAGTTATATCTCTAACCCTTATTTTGAGACAGTCCCTTATTTCAAGATAAGGTCTTACGAAGTTGTCAAGGCTGACCTTGACCTTGCAGTCCTCCTGCCTCAGCCTTCTGGTGGTGGGATTACAGGTGTGCACCCCACCCCTGGGAATTATGTCTTTTTCACTGATTTAACTCGGTTTATCTGTACAAATGTGTGTGAGTACTTTATGACGATATGTATCAAGTTGAACCGTATGAATGCCCAGTATTTGACCATTTCTGAACTACAAAACACCAATTTCACATACTCAAATTTAATATAGTCCCTTTCAAAAGAAGTAAAACTGAATTTCTTTTTTTGTTCCAAAGATCTTGGGGCTGGGGCTAGGGCTCAGTGGTAGAGCACTTGCCCAGCATGTGTGAGGCACTAGTTTCAATCTTCGCCACCACATGAAAATAAATGAATAAGGGGCTGGGGATGTGGCTCAAGGGGTAGCGCACTTGCCTGGCACGCATGTGGTGCTGGGTTCGATCCTCAGCTCCACATTAAAAATAAAGATGTCGTATCTGCCGAAAACAATAAATATTAAAAATTCTCTCTCTCTTAAAGAAAAATGAATAAGATAAAGGTACTGTGTCCATCTGTAACTAAAAAAAAAAAAAAATTTAAAGCAGGGAGGGGGCTCAAAATGCAGAAGTCACAAAAAGCAGGGACCATTTATTGTGCTACAGCCCCAACATGGATGGGACATGTCAACTCCTTCGGGCCACCCCCTCAGGAGCGCAGGAGTCCGTCCATCTTGCAGATGAGCTGACCGAGGCCTTCCCAACGTGTGGCTGTGGTCAGACCAGACCTTCCGACCCCGTTTCCACTCACCGTAAGACTGACACACCACGTGTACCAGTGGGTAAGACTTCCAGAGGACTCGGTCACACCAGGAGGGCAAGTTGTACTTCATCTGTAAATCAAAGTCACGTGTTGAAAAGTCCTGCTACTTTTTTATTTTAAATCAGTTAAAAAAAAAAAAAAGAAAGAAAAAAGACAAGGTCAACTGGTGGCTTCTGCAATCCTCAAATTCAACTGCTGTTGGTTCTTCGTAGACGTTCCCCACTGGTGGTGGTAAATGTTTAACCTGCCTCAGTTCCCAGTGGCACTGCTGTGTGCCACATGTCGGGAGGTCCTGATCCCTGTTTCTGAGTAAGACCCGTTCACCTCCCTGCTCTCGGCACCTGCTCTCCTCACCACCTTAGCCTTTCTGCATCCTCACCTCCTCTGTTTCAAAGAAACCATCTACTTCTATTCAATCCAGTCCCCATCATCTTCTCCTGCTGCTTGCTTTAAAAAGATACCCCAGCCATGGTCCCCAACACCCACAGAATCATTCAAACAGAATCTAACAGAGGAGGAGCCCCTCCTGGGCCTCAGGCTATGGTGCCGAGCAAGACACCCATCAGGTGTGATGGACAGGCAAGGGGGCAACGCCAAGAACCCCCCTTAACCGATATTCTTATTCCCCAGGCTGAGCTCTTTCTTTTTTGTCTCTATATCTCAAGGCATGCCAGGCACGGTGGTGCACAACTGTAATCCAAGTGGCTCGGGAGGCTGAGACAGAAGGATCACAAGTTCAAAGCCAGCCTCAGCAACGGCAAGGCAATGAGCAACTCAATGAGACCCTGTCTTTAAATAAAATACAAAAGAGGGCTGGGGATGTGGCTCAGTGGTTGACTGCCCCTGAGTTCAATCCCTGCTGGAAGGAAGGAAGGAAGGAAGGAAGGAAGGAAGGAAGGAAGGAAGGAAGGAAGGAAGGAAGGAAGGAAGCTAGCTCAAGGTACTTATCCTTAAAGAGCCTACCCTTGCTTTTTTCTTTTTTTTCGAACCAAATTTCTTTCAAGAATGTTCTGGTTTGCAGCCTTCACTTTCTGGATTAGCACATTATCGTCTGCCCCTAACTTGAGATCAGCTCACGTGCTGCGAGTGTACGGCTGGATGAATTTTTGCCTTGGGTATACCTGCTAAGCCACTGTCCACATCAGGAATGGTTCACGTCACCCCGGGAGGTTCCTATGCGCCTTCCTTGGGAAGACCCCCTCCTCGGGGGGACACCATGGGGACGAAGGTCTCCCTCTGTTGATTCTGCCCGGTCTTCAACTCACATAAATGGATTTGCTCAGTATCTGTTTTGGGGTCTGGCCCTTTCATCCCTATTGTTGCTTGTAAAAAGTTCCTTCATTTTAAGAAATGTTGAAATAGTATTCTCACTAAGTTGCTTAGGGCCTTGCCAAGTTGCTGAGGCTGCCTTTGAACTTTTGATCCTCCTGCCTCAGCCTCTGGAGCTGGTGGGATTACAGGCACATGCCACCATGCCCCGCCTCTTGTATTTATCTTTTGATGAACAAATGCACTAGTATTTTTTAATTTTAAGTATACACCGAAGTAGATTCCTGAATCATAAAAAAGGGCATGTTTGGCTTTTTTTTTTTTTTTTTTTTTTAGAGAGAGAGAGAGAGGAGAGAGAGAGAGAGAGAGAGAGAGAGAGAGAGAGAGAGAGAGAGAGAATTTCCAACATTTATTTTTATTTTTTAGTTCTCGGCGGACACAACATCTTTGTTGGTATGTGGTGCTGAGGATCGAACCCAGGCCGCACGCACGCCAGGCGAGCACGCTACCGCTTGAGCCACATCCCCAGCCCCGCATGTTTGGCTTTTGTGGATGCTAGCAAACACTTGACATTGCCGTCTCCTGTGGACCTCCATAATCACACAGAGGTCAGGCCCCCTACCTGTTGCGTCAGAACCTCTGGGGATGAGGCTCAGGCATCCGCATTTCTGAAAACCTTCACCAGGGATTCATCTGCTCATCAGCAGGAAGAACCACCCTTAGCCTCTCGCTGTCTCATTTCACCTCACAAATTGTTTCTATTCAAAGTGTCTCTCCAAAGTCCAGCCAAACCTCCCGCTCCTCGTGCCCGCTTCTCCTCCAGCCCCACGTGCTTATTCCCCGGTCATGGCTGTCTGTCGAAACTCAAGCTGTCCTTCAAGCACCTCCAAGGTCATCTCTAAGCAGCCTCTGGCTCCTTCCCTGCCCCAGTGGCCACTTCCTCCCTGGACTGCTCCTTTTTGACTTGGCAGAACCATGTGTGTCCCAGTTGCAGTCACTGCACATTTGCCTGGTCTTTCCCACTATAGACTCCCTGGGGCAGGCGTCTTATTCACCTTTGACCTCTTAGCACCTAGCAGAGCGCCTAGCCCACCCGCCCCCCAGGCCATCAGAATATCTTTCAACAAATAAATCTTCCATTGCTTCTTTCTCCAAACACAATTCTTTGGAACCCAAGTGGCTTCACTGAGATACGAATTGGTGTTCTGTGACTGACTGAGCTTGGCACAGATTTCTTCATGGAGGACTGCATGCTCTGAAGCCCATAAAGGGCTCTGATAAGTCCTGCAATGAGAAACTGTTGCATGTGGATCCGCTTGTCAGATTAGCAAACGTACTCAATCACAGGTCTTGGTGTGGTTTCGTTTGGTTGGTTTTTTTTTTTTAAATAAGCTTCAGAACCCAGTTAAAGAAATAATGATTTAAAATCCTTTCAGAATATCCCTTTAGAATATCTGGATAGCTGGGTGTGGTGGCACGTGCCTATAGTCCCAGCTACTTGGAAGGCTGAGGTTTGAAGGCAGCCTCAGCAACTTAGTGAGACCCTGCCTCAAGATAAAAACTGAAAGGGCTGGGGAGGTGGCTCCGTGGTGGAGCACCCCGGGTTCAATCCCAACACCATGAAAAAAAAATCCCAACAGAAGGTGAAATCTAAGTGTGAGTTCAAGTCTTCGCAGTGCACAGGTAGATCACCAGGTAGCTTCTGCAGGGTGACATCAGTGGCACGTGACTTCTGATTTATTTATTTCCTTTTGTCATTGTTGTTGCTTTCCACTTCCTGTTTGTCTTTCTGGGACCAGAGGTGTGGGGGGACGAGATGGGCGAGGGGACAGGAGAGGACTCTGGAGGGACTCACCCCTGTCGCTTTCTGCTTGGTGTACGCGTATTTGTCCCGAGTCAGTCTTTCAAAGCGGTAGGTGGGCGCGAACGTGATCTCCTCCTCCTCTGAAACAGACACTAGGGTTTCAGTTGCAGTTCCCCAGCCGCCACCCTGCCCCATTTCCCTCCTCCCCGAGGCCATCCGTCCCCTGGTAAAGATGTCTGGGGAGACAGAAGGACGGCTGGAAAGGGCGCAGGGCAGACTGTGTTCTCACCGAAGTGCAGGAAGACCTTCTGCTCCCTCCTCTCTGTGAGCAGCTGGTCGTGGGACAGCAGATCTGCGTACTGCTGCTGCTTGATTTTCTGGATGATGGTTTCTGCCTCCTGGAGCCAGACACGCCCAGGTGAGAAGCCTCCTTCACCAGTGCATCAAGAAGGCGCTTCCCGCTGCCTTCAGCCACACCAGGGCCTGGGGTGCCTGCACTCCCCAGGCCCAGGCCTGGCAGCTGAGCGGCTGCTTCCTGGTACTCGACTAATTAACAAGGAAAACTCTAGAGAGAGCCCAGAATCATCCCAGTAGCGTAAGCTCCAGGCTAGTCCACACTCGCATGTATCCTGACTTTAGTGTCGTCTTTCCTAACCCTGAGGAGACGGGTAGGCATGCTTCTTGCTTATTCTCTGGGCATCAGCCTCCCTGATCCTGGCTGGTCTGACCCCACGAGTCAGTGTGACATTCATGGGATGTGCTGGCCTTGGATAGGAGTCCTCCCTCCCACCCCTTCTGTGACCTTGAACCAGGTGCTGAGTCTCTGCTTTGGTGAGCAGCTGTGACAGCCCCTTTGCAGGGAAGGGGCAGGAAGTGGGGGCCCTGCCAGTCCCTCTCATGTGCCAGCTGGATGACAAGGGAGAAGAGGAAAGCTGCCCAGGGCATCTTGTGAGGAAGGACGTGGCTGGGCACAATACAGACGGATGCCCCTGTTTGGTCTCTACAGAGCTGCTCAGGTGGTCAGAGACCCAGGTGACTGAGGGACATGAGATCATGTGGAAAGATGCTTGGGAAACGGACAGACCCCTCTCAGAGAACACAATCAACCCTCAGCAGTTTCTATCCTCTGGGTCCTGGGGATTGAACCAGGGGCACTGTATCACGGAGCTACCTCTCCAGTTCCTTTTAATTCTTTATTTTCAGACATGGTCTCACTAAGTTATTTAAATCCTCCCTAAATTGCTGTGGCTAGCCCCACAACTGCAATCCTCCTGCCTCAGCCTTGCAAGTTGCTGGATTCCAGGTGTGCACCCCTGCACTGCGGCCCTCAGCTGCATTCTAGTCCTCCCGTGCCGCAGTGTCCCTGTCTGCACACCACGTCAGTCCCCGTTCCGTTCCCTTCCTCTCACAGGACTGTGGGGTCAGAGCATCTACCTACAGCCTGCAGGTGAACCCCAGTCCCCAAGCAAAGGGCACTCAATGTTCTTCCTCTCGCCTCTTCCCTGTCCCCGCTTCCGAGACATATGTTCAACCACACGTCTGCCCACCTTTCTCCCCTGGGGACCATGGGTGGGCACTGAACTCAAAAAATGTCTTCCTCAGACTGGCTGGGACCACGATGTGGTGAGATGAATGCACTGGTCCCCTCGGACTCCTGTTCTTCCTGGATAACTGAGAGGCACTGACAGGGAGGAGGGGTGGACAGGACAGTCAGGTGAGAAGCTGGCGTGAGAGGAGCTCCACACAATGGTGGAAACTCTGCGATGGCACAGCGTGGGGCCCTGACTGCTGCTGCTGCTGCCTGACCTGCTCTGTGTGTCCTGGCTCCAGGACTCTGTCCTGAGCCAACCCTAGGAGCCTCTGTGCCTGGTCCTGAGCCAACCCTAGGAGCCTCTGTGCCTGACGGCCGCAGCCCCAGCCCACGCAGTGCTCCTTACCCAGGTGGGTAGCTCCACGCGGTAGTTGAGGTCCCCGAGCCAGAAGAGATGGGTGAAGCGGTGAGTGATGTTAAAGGGACTCAGTTTCTTGTCCCCCAGGGCCAGGAACCGGAGAATGTTCATGTAGTTTTGGTTGCGCCTGATGCAAGGAAGAAGAGGCCGCCTGGCATGAGGTCACAGCTCCCCACTCTACCATGGCCGAGGTCAGCGTAGGCATGTGTCCAGCCTTGGGGCAGTGACCACCTTTCCACGTGGGCAGCAGGGCTTTGAGACCAAGCTGGGAACAGAGGACCAGAGCCGCAGCAGTGGAATCTGCTCAGTAGAGGGGTGTTCTAGACGGCCATCCGTGACTGGCCACCAGTAGGCAAACCAGGCCTTGATCCACAAGGTCTCCCCGTGGACATGGGAGTGTTGGCTAGGTATCTACGAGCTTAATGACACTAATGTCACTTTTGTCCTCCAGACAAGAGTCATCCCACACCTGAGGGCCCTACTGGACTGCAGTTGCCTCTACTGAGACCATGGGAGGCCCTTAAAGGCCGGTAGATGCCCAGATGGTCCTGGGCAGGCACTGAAGAGGTCGCCAGGGGTTCAGGGGTGAGGGCTGCCTGGGTCAGTAACCCAGACACAGGTTTCTGGGGGACGCGCCCCATTACCTGAGTTTCTTCTCACTTCCAGAAGTCAAGTGGCTATTAACGAAGCCCAGTGAAGTTCCATTGAACATGAATGACACCCCAACGGCTCCCTTGTTCCCTAAAGGGAGGGAAGAGCAGGAAAGTCAGAGAAGTCAAATAGGAAACTCGTCAAGGGGTAAGGAGATGGCACTGAGAAAGAGCTAGAGAAGCAGGTCCCACGGGCCGGGAGACGTCATGGTGACAGTGAGGACCAACAGCCCTGGGCTCCTCAGCAGGGCAGAGGAAGGAGGCTGGCAGGCACGTCAGTAGCCACTGTGCCAGGCAGGCAGGGACCACCAAAAGCAGGCAGAGGCTGAGGGTGGTGGCACGCTTGTAATCCCAGCTTCTCGGGAGGCTGAGGCAGGATGGCGAGTTCACAGCCAGCCTCAGCAAAACAAAAAGTGAGGCCCTAAGCAACTCAGTGAGCCCTGTGTCTAAATAAAATGCAAAACTAGGGCTGGGGTGGGGCTCAGTGGTAGATGCCCCGGAATACCAAAAAAAAAGGGCAGGCAGAGGACTTGGAAGAGGATTTGGGAGGAAGTGGCCCGGCTGGGAGGACTGACCCACACCCTGGCTAACTCAGGGCGGTTCTCAAGGGATGCTCCCTGCACCAGTGGCAGCAGCACCTGGAAACTTCCTAGAAGGGGAAACACCAAATCACTACCAAAGCTGAAGTTCTGGGGCCCAGAGATGTGTGCCTGACAAGCCCTCTAAGTCAGTGTTTACTATTTTAAATGGTTCAGGGGAAAAAAATTTCAAAAGAAAAATAATCTTTCATAACACATTAAGATATATATTGATACGGAGGATTAAACCCAGAGGCAGTTAAACATTGAGACACATCCTCAGCCCTTTTAAAAATATTTTATTTAGAGACAGGGTCTCACTGAGTTACTTAAGGCCTGCTAAGTTTCTGAGGCTGGGTTTGAACTTGAGATCCTCCTGCCTCAGCTTCCTGAGCCATTGGGAATACAGGTTTGTGCTACTGCACCCGGCTAAGAGATGAAATTCTGATTTTAGCATTTACAAATAATGTTCTATCAACACGCAGCTCTGCCCCTTCATCCAGGTATCATCTGCGTGCAGCTGCCTTCAGGGTTCCCGGTGCTGAGTGGCTGTGACAGAGGCTCCCCTAATATCGCAGCTGGCCTTCACAGCCCGTCTTCCAGCCTGAGCCAGGCTGGAGCTGGGGAGCCTGCTCTGATCAACCCGAGAGCCATAGCCACACATGCCTGAGCACTTGGAACAGTGTAAGTGTAAAACCCTCATGTGCCCAAGGTAAGAAAAACAGCTAGATATGTAATGAACACCTACTGAAATGATAACTTCTTGGATGTGTGAGGTTCACTAAAATCTGTTCTTAAAACTAGTTCCACCTATTTCCTTTTTATTTTTTTTTAATATTTACTTTTTAGTTGTAGTTGGACACAGTACCTTTATTTCACTTATTTATTTTTATGTGGATGGAACCCAGGGTCTCGCACGTGCGAGGCGAGCGCTCTACCGCCGAGCCACAAGCCCAGACCTCCTTTTTATTTTTAATGCGGCTACTAGGACATTTAGAACCTAGACCTGGCTCAGCTTCCCGGGTTCCAGAGGAGGAACCTGCAGCTGGGAGATGTGTCATTAGTGTGCCCAGGCCCGGGCCAGCTCTGGCATCCTGCTCCGGGGCTCACTCTGCCCTGTGCCAAGTGCTGCTGGGCCTGCACTTCCCCTCCTCTCCCAGGCCTCCTCTCCAGTTCCCTCCCCTTCTGGCAGTTGGGTCTAAAGACCCACATCTGGGTTTGAACCCCACCCACCACTTTTTGTCCCTGGGCCTTGGCCAAATTAGGACACAGCCACATGGCCTGTCTCTTCCTCTGGGATGCTAACAGGGCCTCCCCACAGGGCACTGCTGTTCAGTCAGATCATGCGGGTAAAGCTTCTGGCCCGTGGCCTTGTGTGGGGTCCACTCTCAGAAGGCCTTGGCTGCCCTGAGGACTGATGGGTGACCAGAGCTGGGCTTGGCTGAGGCAGGGTATGTTTTGCAATGTGAGGTTTCAGTGAACTTTGCTGTGTGGGTGGGGGTGGCAAGGAAGGCACGTAGCCAGGAAGGGACAGACTCCAGACAAGGGGAAGTTCCCGGGCAGCTGAAGGGCTGGGCTCAGACCAGGGCACAGCCGGTGCTGTCCCCATCACCACTGAGGCAGGAAGGAAGGACAGATGAGTGGGTGTGGCAGGGCGGTTTGAGGTTTGCCAGCAAAAAGCCGAGTTTTTCACATGGGATTGCAACAATCCTTCCATTTCCTGTCTCCTCTGGGACTCTGTTCTGTCCCCAGCTCCAGCCACCAAAGCCCAATGGCCTAACCTCCGACTCCACCCTGGCCTGTATGCACCTACCCACCCCCACACGCTCACACGATAGATCAACACTCACAAGCACAGACTAACAGACACAGGGTGGCACACTCACAGACTTACAGACACAAGCACACATCCTGAGCCACGCCCCCATAGGTTTACACACCCCTAGTCACACATACACACAGAAGCACATGCACGTGAGCACGCACACACACGCTCCCACGCTTGGTCTCTCTCTCAGCTCCCTGCAGTGCTGTGACTGGGGTTCACAGGCTCAGAGCTGGGATCCAGGTCAGGCACCAGCCTGTGGTCAACCCCAGCCTCGTTTATGAAGAAAGTGGCACCAATCAGCCACCTTGTTCACGTTTTGTGTGGCCTAGGGCAGCTCACTGGTGGCAATGGCAGAGATGAGCATGTGGTCCATGAAGCCTGTGACAGTCACTAGGCGGCCCTGTCCAGCACAAGCGTGCCAGTGACCCCTGTTCTAGGTTCTTGCTGCACAAAGTGGCGCCCATGGACTAGCTGGCAGCACTGAGGTCACCTGGGGATTGCTAGACATGGAATCTTAGGATCCACTCAAGACTACTGAGTCAAAACCCACTTTTTAGCCAGATCCCCAGAGCCGGTGTAGACCTCAGGTGAGTTTTGGCTAGGGAGACCGACCACCGGGGTTTACCCAGGAGGAGTCTCAGGGTTTAATCTAGATATATCCCAGGTGGCTCCATGAGAAGGACAAAGCAGAGTGTGCCGGGAGGACCGGTGCTGCCCTGCTTACCTAGGGTGTTCGCGATGCCAGTCTTCACGTTGTCAGTGCAGATGTGGCTGATCCGGTTCTCGTGCTCTGGCTTGGCCAACACCACAATGCGGATGTTCCAGAGCGTGTGGATAGCGACCTGGTAGGAGGACAGCGTTGCAACACTTGGTATAGTATTTGAACCCAGAGCACAGGGTATGGTGTGCCCTGTCTGTACCCCCTAGCCTTCAGGGCACTCCTCCCGATGCCCCACCAGGAGAGAAAGCATCTTAAGGTGACACCTGGGGCTGACAACATTTCCAAGATTATCTCCTACAAGCAGGGGCTGGGAAGGAGGAGGGCTCAGTGATTTTCAGCAATAGCCCACTGACCCCATCAATCTGAGTACAGCCTCCAGGTCCCTCTCTGTGGCTAAGGAACTGGGGGCTCAGTGGAGGGGGAGAGCTGGTAGCTCAAGCCAACGGTGCTGGAGATGCTCCCTGGAAGCAAAGCCCACTGTCTCCGGGCACCACTGGGGTGTGGCCAACTGCTCACCGTTTTAAAAGTCATGCTGGTGACCTCCTGCAGGGAGTGTCTGAGTATCTCCAGCCACTCCTTCTCTCCCAGGGGGTCCTCCTGGGTGCCGATCACGTAGATGTCATGAGGGATGTAGTCAGCTGAGTCATCCCGCGTCTTTCCCTGCCCCTTGGAGAGAAACCAGGACGTGATCTTCTTGGGAGGGGGGGCGTTACCTTCAACAGCAAAACCCAACACCAAGTGAGTTGAAGGCACACCAGATCGACAGCAGCAAGGGGATCAAAACAGCAGAAGAATCATGGGGGACATAAGGGTAGGTCACATCATCAGGCAAAACCATTCCAGCAAATGCTTTTGATGAAAAACTAAGCACCAACATCTCCCAGGAGTCAGTCAGGGGTCAGAGCTCTTGATGCAATAGGACTTGTCCTGTCCCTCAGGAATCTATATTCTACTGGTGAATCTGCCAAGTGAGCTGAGGTGTTTAGATGGGAGGCTCCTAGTGTCCACCAAAGGTGGTCTCGGTCAAGAGCTGAGATGAGCAGGTGTTCACCGGAGAACAGGGAGAGCAAGCAGGCCCCCTCCATTTCCATTTCCAAAAAGGAGAGGAAAGTCCAGCATGGTGCCACATGCCTGTCATCCCAGTGACTTGGGAGGTTGAGGCAGGACAACTACAAGTTCAAAGTCAGCCTCAATTTAGCAAAGCCCTAAGCAACTTAGAACCTGTTCTCACAATAAAAAAAATTTTTAAAAAGAAAAGAAAAATGAGATGAAACGGCAAGAACAAGGATGTCCCAGGAGGATGAGTGAACATTTTCCTTTTTCACAGAGGTGGCTTCTTGGCTCACAAGGGCTGAGAAACCCAAGAAGCGGAATGACAGTATTGGCTGAATTCTGCTTCCTGGGGGCTCCCAGCTGGTGCATGAATGCTGGGCTAGTGGGTCACCCTGTGGGGACCCTGCCACCCTTCCAGTGTGCAACGGGACATTGACTGTGTCCAACCCAAAGAAACCTCTGCTGATGAAGGGAAAAATGGAAAGTGCCCCGGGCCACATGCATGAAGCCCTGGGCGAGTGCGGGAAAGCCAGGCGGACAATCAGATACTGAAATGGAAGATGGGGGTCCCAAGGCCCTGGCCAGGTCTCTCCTTTAGCACTGCTGTGACCCCCAAATCATGTGGGCTTGACCTGGCAAGCTCAGGGGTCAAAAGTCACAGGGAAGGCTAATGCTCTGCAGACCCGGGGTCAGGAGCCCATAGTGGACGCGGAGACCCAGAATCTCCCATCTATCTTCTGGAATCCTGGCCCCTCCCCACTGCCCTCTCAGTTCCAAGCAGCCCCTGCCTCTCTAAAGGGTGCTCAAGCCTTGCTCCAGGATTCTGCCAGGTGACTACATACTGGTCCAGGTACTGGGGTGGCCTGACTCCGCCCAGGACAAAGGCAGAAAAATGGGAGGTTTTTAGAATAAGCAACAGCTATTGATCTGAGATTCAGATTTAAATGGACATCTCCAACTTATTAATTGATTTCTAGCTGAGTACTTATGTCAACATTCTTTAGAAAATTTATATTCTTTAGTATCTATTTAACTTATATATTAGTATATAAATATATGTAGTATATATTTGGTATTTATATATTTATTTCTTGCCAAACACTTATACTAAAAATTTATTTGTTGTTCCTGTGAAATTCAAATTTAACTGGGCATCTCTCTATCACTCTATTCATCCACCTATCTACCTACCTACCTACCTACCTACCTGTCTATCCACTTACCTACCTCTATACCTATTGATCTCTCTCTGGATAAATCAGGAATGGACTTCTTTCTCCCAGGCCTGGGTCCCCTAGGCAAGCTACCAACGCTAGCAGGGTGCTCCAGTGGGCCCCTCCACCTAGATACTCAGATTCTTTCTTCCAAAGCCCACCCTGTTGCTCCGGGGTACAATTACCCAGAGCTCCTTTTCCTTGCTCATCCCCCCGGGGAAGGAGTAGAATTCCTCAGAGAGGAGACTGGGCCGGGGCAAGAAGGCAGGAGAGTTGGGGGTGTCCCTCAACCACAGGAAAAGCAAAACCAAAGGAGATGGGACAGGAGGGAGGGGCACAGGGACCCACCCATGTTCCAGGTGCCGATGAAGATGGTGATCATGTCGGGCTCCGGCTGCTCCGAGTGCTTGTTCTTCATCTGCTGCAGGAGCTGGCAGAAGCCTTCTCTCTTCTGGGGATGAAAGGGCGGACAGACTGAGCAAGGCCTCTGCCTCCCTGCACATCACACTTTGCAAAGGACTCAGCCAAGAAAACCGGGGGGAGTGTAAGTCATTCTGCACTGGCCAAACCGAAACCTGGGAATCGCATCCCGAGTCAGCAAGTGTTCTCTGACCCAGCCATTCCACCAGAGGACCTGACTCTAGAGAAATCCTGGAACCACCTAAAGGTCCAGCCCTCCGTGGCTCTGCAGCACATGTTGCAAACCAGACAAGCTCAGAAACAACCTTCACGTCCTATCATGGGGGATCTGTTCATCCATAAACTAGAATCTGGTCAAGCAATTATGGTGCAGAAGTACTTAACCAACAAGGAGAGATGCCATAATCTGTAGCTAGTAAGGAAAGCTACTTGATGCAAACCAGTATAGATTGCATTCCTGTATTTTGTTTTTTTAAAAATATAAATGTATGGGTTGAATCAAACATCCAAGGTCAGCTAGTGGTATAGGGGTATTTTTGCTTTAAACTTCAGCTTGTTGGTGTTTGCTAATTTTTCACCAATGAGAATAGATTATTTATGTAATGAAAAAAATAATAATAAAAAGAAAAGGAGGGCTTTCAATTCTTCCCACTTATTTTTCCTGGGTCCACTGTGAGCACAAGGCAGACCCACCCTTCCTTAGGTTGCAATCAGTAGAGCGGCTGACTTTAAATGAGAGTATACACAATTTCCAGTTGTCCCACATGACATGATGGATGTTTACCTGCTTCACTTCTACAAAGCCAGCAATTTTATGTGATTCAACTTCAAAATTGCAAATCTTGGTGAGTCCCCTCTGAAGAGAGCAGCTCACAAAGATGTTATGATGGCTGTCTTTATTGAGACCTGCCTTTAGCTGGTTTAGATGGCTCAAGATTCCATGTCTCAATCCTTCTGAGCTTGCAAAACTGGGGCAGAATGAACTGGTTTTGGACCTATACCCCTGTGCCCAGAATACTGTCCTTCCAGTAGTCTTTCCACCTCCCACTACTGGCTCATGCACCCTATGTTTTAATGTAGGTGCTGACTGACCCTACATGACCTTCTGTGGCATGTGGGTCATCCAGCACCTCTGTGATAGATGTCCTTACTGCTCTGTGGCCCAACGGCCTCCTCTGAACTGGACAGAGGGGACTGAACAGTGGGGCTTGATGGGTCTCAGTTCCTGATTGAGACTTCTAAGGTAAGTGCTCAGGTGGCAGAGAAGCCCACCTCTGGCTGCAGAAGGGCCTGCCCTTGGCTTCCCACTGGCCCCATAGCACCGTTTCCTCTAGGAGCCAGTCCTGGAGGAGCATTGTACTTCCTCTGAGTGGGGCAAAGTGCAGAAACAAGTTTCCTAGAGGGGGCACTAGATAGAATTAAATCCAGGTCCCCAAAGCGCTCTCAAGTCCAGCCCAGAGAAGCTAAAAGCCTCCTAGTCAGGCCCAGGGCTGGGCAAGGAGCAGGTGATGAAGGATGTGCCTGAAGGGATGCAGCCAGGCAAGGTGGCACAGGAGCTCCTGGGGCAGCCAGAGCGTGACAGCACACACCCTGGCTGATGCAGAACAGGCCTTGGCTTCCCCAGGCGCGAAGTGGGTTGCTGAGAAGTGAGCTACCGGTGCACACTCCCCGGCCCATCACCATCTTCAATAGACAGGGGTCCCCTCACCCTCCTCTCGGTCCCTCTTGGAGGTTTGCTGTCACTTACTTTGGAGTCAGCAAAAACATATTCCTTCCGCAGGATCTTCTCCTTCTCTGTTTCCACCAAAATCACCAACTTGTTCAGGAATTTCTGTGACTTGATGAGCTGCAGGACTTAAGAAAAATGGAAGTTAACTTCCTTGTTCATCCACACATCCAGCCAATACGTCCCAGTCTCCACCAGGTCCAGACTCCGGACCATCAATTCCTCTGACACTCCTGTCCACAGGCTGAGCCCTAAGTCTCTGTCTGGTCTCCAGATCCTGCTGCTCCTAGATGCTCTGCCTTTCTGCTTCCCCTTCCCCTTCCTTCTTTTGCTTTTAATTTACCTATAAATTTAATTTACTTCTTTTCTTTGGACTGAGGCACAAACCCAGGGATGCTTTACCACTCAACATTGTTCCCAGGCCTTTTTATATTTTACTTTGAGACAGGGCCTTGCTAAGTTGCGTAAGGCCTCCCTAAGTTATTGAGGTTGATCTTGAAATCTCCATCCTCCTGCCTCAGCAACCCACGTCACTAGGGTTACAGATGTGTGCCACCGTGCACGGCTCCTTCCTTCCTTCTTTTTTTAAACCTTTTAGTTGTAGATGGACACAATATCTCTGCTTTATTTATTTTTTTATGTGGTGCTGAGGATCAAGCTAGGGCCTAGGCAGGCACTCCATCACTGAGCCACTCCCAGCCCCCTGCCTTGGGTTCTCATTGGTCCCAACTCCCCCCAAGTCTGTAACTCCTTCCTGTGACCAAGCTCTTTCATCACCCTTTGTCCTTGGGAAACTTTCCCAGAGCCTCTCTGGACGCCATTTCTAGGTCTGATGGCGGAGCTCGGGGCCAACACCTGTGTCATCCAGCAACCTAGCCAGCTCTGTCTCACTGGATCTTGTTTCTTGGACCCCAAGTCTTGGTTTACTCCTTCATTTTGTTACAGTAATGTCCCCAGTACCTTTCCAAGAAAGGAAGAATGGGCAACTAATACATTTTTGGCCTTTCCTGTATCTGAAAACTCTACCCTCCCACTTAACTGACTCCAAATTGAAACCGTTCTTGACTCTGGAGACTTGCTCCGACACCTCCAGTTTGCAGCATTACCAAGGAGAAACAGCTGTTCTGATTCACCTTTGTGCAGAAAAGAATCGGCGCAGTGGGCCTGTGACTGCCGTCCTGGAGCTTGCTAGTGAGGGTGGCCTTTTGTTGGAGTCTGGACCTTAGATGTCAAGAGGGATCTCACCAGGAGAGGATACCTCCACGACCAGCCCCAGTTAAAAACCCTGGTGCTGAGGACCTAAAGACCATCCTGGTGGACATTTCACGTGTGCTCTCTCGGCTGGTGGGCAGGAACCGTGTCCTGGTTCCCTTCAGCTCTTGCCCGGTGCCTCTTCTGTTGATTCTGCAGAGCCCTTCCCATGCACTAAGGCCCAGCTGTGAATGCGCTCCCACGCCTAGTGGCCTCCTGGTTTCTCCTCATGCATCACTGAACCTGGGAGTGATCTGAGGACTCCCAACAGTCTGGTTTGCACTTGATCTTTCCCAGAGCTCTTCCTCCAGGGTTTCCTCGTGTGGCCTTGGGCCTCGTAAGCATTTCACCTCTGCTGTCTTCCAGTGCTCTGCCCCACTGTTCTGCTTTCAGGCAGTTTCCTTCATTTTACCTCCCACCCTTCCATCAAGTTTTTATTTTCTACATTTTTGTAGTTTTTCCTTTCCCAGAGTCGTCCTTCTTCCACTCTCTCTTCTCCTCCTTTCATTTTTATATTGTTTTCCTCCTGTTCCCTTTTTTAGACAGCACTCTAAATTCTTTTAAATCTGTATAATTCATTTCCTCCAACAGTTTTTGTTTTTCCCTTTATTTCTGTCTTCGTGTCCCACTGTCTTTTATTTGAGGTTTCCCTTAAAGATTGCAAGATCAGAAGGATTAAGACAGTGATAAATGGCCAGGCGTGGTGGCGCATGTCTGTAATCCCAGTGGCCTGGGAGTCTGAGACAGGAGAATCGCAAGTTCAAAGCAAGTCTCAGCAAAAGCAGGGCGCTAAGCAACTCAGTGAGACCCTGTCTCTAATAAAATACAAAATAGGGCTGGGGATGTGGCTCAGTGGTCGAGTGTCCCTGAGTTCAATCCCCAGTATCCCCCTCCTTTCCCCCCACAAAAAGACAGTGATAAATGGAGACACAGGATCTTGAGCCATCCCAGCTAAAGGCAGGTCTCAATAAAGACAGCCATCATTACATCTTTGTGAGCTGCTCTCTTCAGAGGGGACTCACCAAGATTTGCAATTTTGAAGTTGAATCACATAAAATTGCTGGCTTTGTAGAACTGAAGCAGGTAAACATCCGTCATGTCATGTGGGACAACTGGAAATTGTGTATACTCTCATTTAAAGTCAGCCGCTCTACTGATTGCAACCCAAGGAAGGGTGGGTCTGCCTTGTGCTCATGGTGGACCCAGGAAAAATAAGTGGGAAGAATTGACAGCGCTCCTGTGCTCTTTTCTTTTTAATTATTTTCTTTCATTACATAAACAATCTATTCTCATCGGTGAAAAAGCAGCAAACACCAACAAGCTGAAGTTTAAAGCAAAAACATCCCTATACCACTAGCTGACCTTGGACTAGACCTTTCCGTTATTTCAAGAGCTTTCCATACTTGAACTGTAAGTTGTGTATCTCTGTTTACCAGTAAAATACTTCTGCAGCACAGTTTTAAAACTTTTATGGTATTTTGGCTTATAGATGATCCAAAATACAACTATTCAAGAAAGCCCCACGAAGGGGCATGAAGGTTGCTCTGGTGACAGGCTGGGTGGCCTCAGTGGTGTGGGCTCCTTCGAGCAGGGCTTCTCCACTGGGTGGTCACTTGATGGCAGCACTTTCATCTTTGCCCCAGGGGTGGTCACGTCATCCAGAAAAGATGCTTCCGCCCTCCTGCCTGGGCCTGCCAGCATCCTTCAGGAAAGAAGGCCGAGCTCTCAGCACTTGGAAAGCCACTGTCACTATCATCACTGGTCCTTTGCTCTCAGGAGGGTCTCTTACCCTCACCAGGTCCAGCGGCCCCCAGGCCTCTACCTCCCCTGGAGAGGAAATACCCATCTCCTGACCAACGAGCCAGGGCACCTCTGGCTGTGTGCAGTGGAGACAGCTGGGGGCTGCGGCTCCCTGACGGGTTTCCATCGGGCCCTTCACCCCACTTCCAGGGCCCCCGGTGCTCTCGGTTCCCAGCCCGTGGTGGCCCCTGGATGAGCCTTGGCGCCTCCATTCTCCTCCCCTTGTGCTTCATGCTTAGCTGCTCGCTTCTCTAAGTTGGCTGCCGTTACCTCTACTTGCCACTTACAAAGATTTCCTTGTTCTCACCTCTTCCCCTTCCCTTTGTGCCTCTGAGTATTGGCTTCTAGAAGGGAAATGACCATAGTGGACGCATGCTCCAGAAGCTAGGAGTGTCACCAGACGGAAACTGTGGGTGACATGTGTGTGCTCTGTGCTCGGGAATCCCATGGGTCTTGCAGTGGCAGCAGGAAGTGTCCCACGGTACGATTCCCTCCCCTGCCACCCGGATGCCCTGCAGTTTTCCAGTTGGGCTACTCTTGGCGGCATCTCCTTCCCTCTGAACTGCTGGTTTTCTTGAACATCTGTTTCCAGGACTCTGCGGCTGCTGCCAGGGCGTGACAACCTCCTCGAGGGGATTCTTATTTGACCAGGGTCAGTAAGTGGCTCCCTTTTCTCACATGGGGTTAGTAAAGCGAGCTCTTCTGCGCTCCTCGGGCCGCCATTCTTCCTTCTTCCTTCAAACCAGACTGTTTACCTCTCCTCATTTCAAGCCACTACCTCCTGCCTGACTAGTCATGACCTCTTAAATTGGTCTTTCTGTCCCCACTCTTCCTTCCCCCTCACAATTGATGCTCAGCACAGCAGCCAGTGACCTGTTACAGTGGGATCATGGCATCCCCCGCTTAAAACCTAGTGGTAGCTCAGCGCTCAGTGAGCCGCACCAGCTGGACCCGCCCAGCCTCTGCCTCCTCCGTGCTCGGGCAGCCAGCCTTCCCTGCCAGCCTTGCTCCCACCTAGGCACCCCACCTGGCCTCCTTCTGGGCATGACTGTCAACATGCCCATGCTCAGATTGCATTCGGTGACACACTGAGGGAGGTTTTGGCTCCTGACTGTCCTGTCTTCCTATTTAATTCCCAGCCTGGAGCTATTGCTCCGAGGCGTGTTCCTGGTTCACGTGCGCATGTCTGTGTTTGTTGATTTCTCCTTTACTCCTCCTGCTGAATGCAACCTCCCTGACAGCTAGGACCCCACCTGGTACCCACACCTGGCATGGAGCAGGTGCTCAGAAAGTGAATGCATTACAATTTTGTCATAGAGCAACAGTCTTTTCCTATGTTTAAAGACCATAATGCCAAAGATATTATGGTACATGGTGACCAAAGCCTGCAGCCACAGAGCTCCTGCAGGCAGGCGACACTTCATGCTAACAGCCAAACTTGGAAACTGTGAGCCAGGCCTCACCCACTCATCTCACAGCCACTCGCAGGAAGCCCTGTTTTGCAGAGAGGAACATGGAGATTCCAGAGTCAAGCTGCTTTCCCAAGATCACAGTATGACCAAGTCCTGGCTCTGGGATGAGCACCCAGTTTACCAAAGGCCTCAGCCGTGAGGCACACTGCCTCTCAGCTATGAAGAGGCTGCCTAAACGCAGGACTGAGGGCGCTGCATGACTTCAGCTGCCCGTCGTGTATTCACCAATACGCATCTGCTGGGAAATTCATTCCTGCACTGACCACTACTCTGGGCTCAGCACAGTTCCGGGAGACCCACACCCCAGCTTGGTGGAGCCCACATGTGAGGGGAGCTGGGACTTATGGGGAATGTCCCTGAGCATGCAGCCAGGCAGGGGCATAAGGTAAAAATCTCGCTGTCCTTGGCGGGGGATGGGTGGGCGGACAGACTGTGAACAGGTGGGTGTCTTCTGATGTGACGGGTGTCATGACAGAGCTACTACAGCTTCGTCAACCTGGTAGGGGGCGACAAGAGCTGGGTGTGTGCCCCCGAGTCAGGGCTGGCAGGCGCTGGGTGTCAATGCTGTTTTCTCCTTCCCACCCCCTCCCCATTACTTAGTCCCCTGCCCCAGTCTGGGGAATCGAACCCCAGGGCCTCAGGCATGCCAGGCAAGCCTTCTACCACTGAGCTACATGCCCAGCCCTGCTTAATTAAAATGATACGCAAAGTATCAGGTACCACATGGTGTTCTGAGCGCAAATACAGGATGGAACGGGCAAACCCAGCGCATCGACACATTCGTCACCACTCATACTTGCCATTATTGTGAGAACACTTTTTTTTTGGGGGGGGGGTACTGCGAATTGAACTCAGAGGTACTTTACCACTGAGCCACATCCCCAGCTCTTTATCACTTTTGGAAACAGTCTCATTAAGTTGCTGAGGCTGGTCTTGAACTTGCAATCCCCCTGCCTCAGCCTCCAAGTCACTGGATTGCGATTGCCCACAGCTACAAGAACACTTAACATCTCGTCCCTCAGCAATTTCCAAGAATTCAACCTACTGTCATTAGCTGGAGTCACCTGCTGTACAACCGACCTCCTGAACTTACTCTTCCTAGGAAAGAGGGAAGCACCGTTCTAAGCTGACGGCTTTCCACACAGCCCTCATGCTCAAACGCCAGTAACTGCGGCTTCTCACGTCCGACTTGGCACCGCACGGAGGGGCCTGCCCTGATGCCAGGGGCTTAGTTCTGCAGGTATGACAGCTTGTCACCCAGTGCGCAGGGACTTTCTTCCTGATTTACCCCCACCCCATACACGTATGCACACACACTGCTCCGTTCTGCCTGCCTCACAGCTGTGTTGGAAGGATTAGTGGAACGGTGACAGTGGTGACAGTGACCAATGGTGACAGTGACCAAATGCATTGAGCAGCCCCAGACGCCAGGCCCCATGTGCTTCAGTGTTGGCCCCTCATGCCTCGTGGCAGCCCTCCAGAATAAAACCACCATCGCATTTGACAGAGGAGTAAACTGAGGCCCAGGGAGGACCCTAGCCCTGGGCTTCCCACACCCCGTGTGCTTGACGTGGCTCAGGACCCACTACCTCCAATAGACACCTTGACATGGGGGGTATCAAGGAAAGGAACCCAAAACACAGCAGATGCAGAAAGTGCTCTCTGACCTGCCCTGAAGCAGGTCATAAGACCCTCATGTGACAGGTGCCCTTCTCATACCAGGACACACAGGGGAATCTGAAGGCACAGGCCCGGCTCAGCTCCTCCCAAGGCCTCTCCTTGGCTCCCACGGGTTTGTTCCATCCCATTCTTCCACACTCCACCTCCTAAATACACCGAGGTCCCAGTGCTGGGTGGAAACGGTGACCCCAGGGAGGGCCGGTCATCCACTGTTGTTCCCCGGAGCGTCCTTCAGTGGCACTAAGGCAATGGCACTGAGGTCTAGTCCTCCTGTTCTGGATCCAAGTTTTCCAGAGACTTCCTGTACATTTGCGACAGCATCTAAACTTGTTTCCCTGGCCCCAAGGCTGTCATCCCCAGTTCTCTGCCTCTGAGCACCCCAGGCTGGCCTCAAACTCATGATCCTCCTGCCTCAGCCTCCCAGCAGATCATGGGTGAGGCTCCCCAGCCCTTTCTGCCCTTCCTCAAGGCCTGCTTGTGCTGCCTGAGTCCACACAGGCTGTTCCCATCTGGGACCCTCCCCTCAGGCCCCTGTCTAACCTCTCAGCTCCTGGGCTCCTCGCTGAGAGGCGCCCGCCCTGTCCCCCTCTGCTGGCTACTCCATCTCCCTCGCTGATTCCTAACCCGTTATGCTCTTGTTTTCTTGGCAGCACTCATCAGCAGCTGACAGTGTGTTGATATATTTGTTTATTTATTGGCCACTCAATGCACCAGAAGTTCCCCGCCCAAACAGCTCCGGGGCCAAGACAGTAGCCGGCTCAGAGGGGCACCTAGGTGCTGGGCTCTGTCCCATGTTACTTAGGTCATCTTTCTCATGCCTATTTTACAGACGAGGAAACTGAGACCCAGAGTGGTGGGCCAAGGTCCCAAAGCTGCTAAGACAGCTTGGAGGTGACATGCCCATGGTCACACAGCTGCTAAGTGGCTATGCAGGGCCTGCAGTAGGCACAGTGAGGTGACAGGGTGGGTCAGACTGGCCTGTTTGCAGGGAAGAGAAGACAGAGTCACACACATAGATGCGTGGTCACCACAGCCCAGCCACAAGACTGTCGCTAGGCAGGGCACACCACGTGAGGTGTGAGCTCCTTCCCCGGGGTTCAGAAGGAGAGGCCAGAGCATGAGGGGAGGGGACACGAGGCCAGGGGAGGGATTCCAGGGGCAGGGTGAGGCGCTGTGGGCACGCTGGGCAGCAACCACTCTGCAAAGGGCTTACTCTCTGGGGCTGCTACTGATGGGTCACCTGCTGCAGGTCCCTAGTAAAAGCCTCCACAGACCTAGGGCAAGAGGCATGGGGGTCTTACTTTTCTTGTGGCTGTAGAACTTGTCCTCAGAGCCATCCTTGGACTTCTTAATGATCAGTTTCCCGGACTCGACGTCCACTTTGAGCTGCATTTTCTGAGAAATCCCCAGAGACTCCGACTTCACCTTGCGGAGGAAGAGATGTGGTTTGTTGATTTTCTGAATGAGCTTCAGTGATGCCAACCCACGGCTGGGCCACCTTGGGTCAGCGTCCCCTGGGGGACCATCGGGCTGCTGACACCATCTCCCTCACCTCAGTCCACATGTGCACACCCCACTGCCTCCCCTGAGAGCCGCCCACGCTCGGGGGCCGGCCCAGCTCGCCCACTGTGCACCCCAACTCTTCTCCAACAGGCTCAGTGGAGGAAAACGCATGAACTATTGCAAAGCGGCTCATATGTCAACCTGCTTTGCCCTGACTTCCAGAAAGGACATCAGTGAGACACCCCCGGGCCTTGTTACAAGGCCAGCTGAACACTGTGGCCTAGGACAGCCCAGAAAATGGAACTCTGTCTTTTACAGGAATTTGCAGGATGAGAGAGGACTTTGGGGTGGGGAGCAGGGGTGTCTCTCACTGTATTTCTGAATGCGGGGATCAGGCTGGCTGGACACACCAGAAACACTGGGGATCACTTAAGAAAAACACGCTTCTGGATCGAGGCTGGAGGTTCGAATTCAGCCCCTCTCAGGGAGATCACAGCAATTGTTTTGGTTTGATTTTTCCCCACCGGCCGCTGGGGACACTATTTTGCATGTAGCTCATTCCTCTCATTTTGAGAACAGAGTTTATAGCACTGCAGCCAATGAGGAGCTTGTCCCTGGCAGCCTCCCGACGGAGGGGACTTCACTGACGTTTGTAGGCCCCAGTTCTCACGGTGAACCATCTCCCCGGCCAGGCAGTTCCAGGGACCGCTGTTTTCCACAATTGGGTTCCTTGCCCTTCCAAAGCCCAGGCCAAAGGCACGCTTTCCCCAGGGACCAGAACGATCCCCAAAGCATGAATTTCAAGGCCAGCCTCCACTGTCATGGCCACTTACCTCAAAGGTGACTGGAGGGATGAGGGAACGCCGGTGGGTGTACTCGGGACCCTCATGCAGCAGGGCCTTGACCTGTGGGCAGCAGCAGTGGGGCAGAGTCAGAAGGGACACAGGATACAACCTGGCCATCCTCTGTCTAAACAGGGGACCCCGCCCCCCAAGAAACCACAAGAGCTGCAGGACCCCCTGCAGTACCTTGTCTTCAATGGAGGACAGCAGACTTGTCAGTTGGCTGAGCTTGGCCACCATGTTGATGGGATTGGCCTCCCCAGGCACCTGGGACATGAGGACGAGAAGGAGGGTGGCCCTGACTGCGGGATCATCAGGAAGGTGGCTCCCACTGAGCACCGCCCTCACCCCCTCGCTCCACCCGGTTCCAGCTCCCGACAACCTTGCGGGCCTCTGTCTTCATCCCCTCTGCAGATGGGGGCACGGGACAGGCAAAATCCTCAGAATCCTCACGGCCCCAAACCAGATCTTCACGTCTTTGCTCTCATCCGCCTCTCGGGAGCCCGTCACCCTCCAGCTCAGTCGCCCCAAGCTACAGGCCTCTTTGATCTTAACCCTCCTCCCTCCCAATCTCCTGCACTATGGAGCCTGCTCTGCTCCCCCAACACACCCACTCTGTTCACCACTTAAAACCCGAGGCCAGCTGCTCCCCCTGCAGGGACAGCACTGTCCACTCCTTACCCTGCCCTCGAAGGCGCTGGGCTCCAGCACCGCCCCCCCAGGGCTGCTCGGATCCCTACTGCTGATCTGCCGAGAGTGACACTTTCTAAGGCTCTCCAGAGACTTGGATTTCACTTGAGAAGGGCACTTCCTTGTCATTCAGGTCTCATAGCACTGGGAAATCGTCCCTGTCCCCTCCAGCTGGGCTAGCCGCCTGGTCATTGCTATTAGTCAAGTTATCTCCTCCATGTATGACCTCCCTGTGTGCTTCCCCTGCTAGAACACAGGCGCCACGAGAATTGAGACCAAGGACACTGTGACCAGTGCTGCAGCCTGGGTACTAGGAACACCCTCTGACCATTGGAGAGGCTCAATAGGGTTGTTTGTGAACAGAAGGGCCCAGAGAGCTCAAGTTACTATCTGTAGTCACACAGCTAATAAAACACAGAGCAGGACCTGTACTCTGCTTGGCACCAAGTCCATGCCATCGAGAACAAGCATTGTAAAGTCTCCATTCTAAGGTAGACAGGCTGCCAGGAGCTGGAGATGCATTGTTAGTCTTGCAGGAGGATGAGGAAATCGGACACATGCCTAACTTGAACACCAGGCAGAATGGAAAGAGTGCTGTCCCTTCACCTCCCTCCTTGCTCAACGTATCAGCCTGGCTATGTTTGCTTTTGACCTCAGTTTTCTACCCATCTCCTTACACCATTCCTGCCATCGCCATCGTCACTGCAGCCTCTACCCCACCAAGGAAGTGGTTTTGTTATGACAGTGTGTTCTCTCTGGCAAGCCTGCTTGTTTCCCACTTTCTATCCTGGACAGTTGCTGTGCAGCTTTAGGCTGGTGTCTCCCCCTTTGGATCTGTAACTTTGGGGGAGGTCTGGCAGAACCTTACAGAGCACAAGGATGTTAAGCCCAGGGAGTTAGTTCCTGGGACAAAGGTTTTGGATAAGAGCTGTAGCTTTTCTAATACTTCTCCCTAATAGCGAGGATCATTTGATGAATTCCTATAACAAGCACGATTTTAAGCCCTGGGGGAGCAGAGACAGGGTGTGCTAGAGCTAGCACACAGCGGGATTTGAATTCGGGTTGAGTACTGTGGCTCTCAGGTACATTTTACCCCTCAAGGGACATTTGGCAACATCTGGAAACATTTCCAGGCAGCACAGCTGGGGAGGTTAATGGCACTCAGTGGGCAGAGGCCAGCACACAGGACAGTCCCTACAACAAAGAGCTACCCAGGTCGAAATGTCACTAATGTTCAGGCTGAGGGTGCAACTTGCAGTGCAGCCTGCCCGCGGATGGGTTGGCACGGGAGTCACCTGCGGGTTACACAGTCCACCCAGTTATCCCACTTTGCCCCTTAGTGGCACTTTTCTTTCTTTTCTCTCTCTCTTATTGGGGACTGACGCCCAGGGTGCTTTACCACTGCATTACCTCTCCAGTCTCTTTTATTTATTTATTTTTTTTTATTTTGAGACAGGGTCTCACCAAGTGGCTTAAGGCCTTGCTAAGTTGCTGAGGTTGGCCTCAAACGTGCAATCCTCCTGCCTCAGCCCCGGAGTCCCAGGCAGGCCATACCCACCTGAGCAGCACTTTGCAAAGGGGATGCCTACATGTCAACAGACCCCCATTCTGGGTTCTGTGCAGGGTAGACCCAGGGCTCTTGGCTGCCCTGAGGTTCCTCACCATTTTGATGGCATAGTTTTAGGAGCCTTTCAACAGCCCTCGAGAGATTCCCTGCAGGAGTTAGGGTCCCACCAGGGTCTGGGGAGTGTCCGCCTTCCTAAGGCTAAGGGCTTGTGTGGCAAGGATCCGACTGCTCAGATGCCAGACTCACGGGCATCCTCCCCGCTTATCCAGCCCTGCACCCTAGGACACCACCACCCCCAGTTCACAGGCCGGGTCAAAGGGCCCAAGGGCCTAGTCTTATTGACCGAGGCGCGTCTTCCTTCTCTATGCCAGGCAGCCTCTCCGAACACCCTCCTGACTGTGAATTCTGAAGGTATACCAAAGGTGACATTCTCGGCCTTCCTTGAACCCAGTAAGTCCCGAGTGATGGATTCTGCAAATACTTCTACAAAATCGATACGCTGCATTAAAGTAGGCTGGACATCATAATCTAGAACTCATAGCGCCTTGTATATTTTTTCAAATGCTGTAATCAGCCACCTGTTTTCTCAACAGAACAGACCTCTAAAAACATGCTGCTTCAAAGTTACCATAAGTGGTATATTTGCTGCTCTATTTAAGTTTCTATAGGTGTTCCCCGTCTGGGGCCATGAAGGAAATGGATTGAAATCCAGGGTCTCCCAGGAGGAGACCACCCCACCCCTGTCACCGCTCTGTCCTACCTCCAAATGCAAACCCGCTGTCCTCTGGGGGGCAGACCCCCACCCTGATGGCGGCTGGCCCATCTCTGGAGGCCTGTCTCCTGATCAAGGACTTGGGTGCACATTCCTCCTCTCAAACTAATTTCGGATGTTTAGCTGGTCCCGTTCCATCTAGATTTGTTTTTGCTTTCTTAGAAATTAACCCATCATTCACTTCAAAGAAATACATTTAAATATTTTTTTTTCCTGGTGAATTTTTTCAGTTGTATAAATAGAACACAAATATATTTTCTCTGTAAAAAAAAAAATTCTGTGGAAGACCAAAATAAGCCACCTCAAAATATTCTTCTTTGGCATGTTTCAAGATGGCTATTCACAGAAGCCGCAGACACAGGAATAGCTCTGAAAAGCTGTCTTTTTGTAAAAGACATTTGTAACCCTCTCCACCGGTAGTCAAGGGAGGCTCTCCGTGATCTCGCCATCTGCTGTCTAGATCTAGGAAAGACCCGTGAACACCTCACCACGAACCTCACCTGTTCTTTCTTTGTTTTCTTTTCTTTTTGAGATGGGGTCTCACTTTGTGGGTCAGGCTAACCCCCAACTCCTGGGCTCAAGGGATCCTGCCACCGCAGCCTCCAGCACACCCAGTTCACCCAGTTCACTGAAGGCTGCTGACTAAGAGCTGAACTGTTCAGGACCAGAGGCTTCCCCTTGAGACCCCCCCACCAGGATATGACCCACCACCACCTGCCCCACTCCAAGCCCCTGCTGCTTTCCATAGCCTCACAGTGGTAAAAAAAAGTCAATCATCTGTGTCTTCTCGGAGGGTCACACTTTGTGAAGCTCCCACATGTATAAATGTCCTGTTGGTCCAGTCAATCTGTCCACTCTCAGTTTGCCCCAGAGACTCAACAATGGAAACTTCAGGAAGCAGAAAGGAGGAAAGTTTCATCTGCCCTCAACTCAAGCAAGCAATGTGGACAAAGGCGCCCTGGGCCCACCCCCTTCTCTCCCATCCCACGGGACTTCCTGGTGAGCAGAGTGGCCCGGTAGATTTAAATCCTTCTGGTTTGCTTTCCCCGGGCTGAAGCCACAGTGCACAGTTGTTCCGCCATTTGCATATCCCACCCAACAGGTATGGCTGGAGATCTGCCCACGGCGGTGCCCATCTCTCTACATTCACCATCTCTCTACATTGATGGGGCTTCCATATTTTTGCTTTTAGAGATCAAGCTCCAGTGCACACCTTTGTCAGTACCACGTGGCGTGCAATCCTTAAGATGGCTGCCTACACCAGGCTCTGCTGAAGAGGGGAGTGAAAATTTGCACATGAATGGCTTTCACAAAACCCATTTCCATCCCGCCAGTAGAGGGATGAGCCCCCGGGAGCATCCAAGAGCATCGGGCTCCCCAGTACTAGGGGCCCTGACTCTACAATCGCCTTTAGCCATCAATTTTCTGCCTGATAAATGGAGATCACACTTGAGTTTCAGGGTTACTTGCCCAGGAGGTTGGAAATCTTCCTTTGGATACACTGCCTGCCTCCCTCCATCTTCCGTGAAGCCTTGTTTATAGCTTTTCCCATCTAAATAACTGGATTTTTCTACTTATTTTTTGGAGTCCCTCTCTCTCTTAATCCTGCTAATCCTTTGTCTCTAATATTTGTAGCAAATATTTTCCTCAAGATACTGTTTCTGCTTGTTTTTATAACTTCGATGAGGACACCTTTTTCTTTTCTTCTTCTTTTTTTTTTCTTTTTCCTTTTTACAGATTCATGCCTAATGGTCAACTGGACCGTGGCCTGCAGCCCTGCCTGAGGAGAGAGGTCTTCATTCTGCCTCTGGGGAGCAAGCAGCAAGGATCAAGAATTGGTCACCTCTTATCTTTCTTTCCAGTTTCGGAGGAGCCATGGTGGGAACAGGTCCTGCTCGCCTCCTGATTCAGTGCTAAATCAGCAGTTCAGCTGATGGGCACATCATCTGAAATCCTTATTCTTCAAATCGAAATTCGGCCTGGGAGACGCCTTTGGGGAGGGGCAGGATGGGGGGTGGGTTCCCCCTCCACCTCAGTGTACCAGTCTGCTCTCCTCTCCTTCTGCGCCCTGGCGACCTTGGCTAGCTCAGCCCCCTCCTTGGGCTTATTAATTTCCTCTTCCACCCCAAGACCCTGTACCTGAGGACGAGAACGGAGGCCAGGGGAGAGCTGCTGGTCGAACAACTTCTGCAGAGACTCCAGGGACGGGAGCGTCCGGACCACTTCGCTGGAGGCCAGGGGAGGGGTGGAGAACAGGGTTAGTGGGCACCGAGAAGGTGCGTCCCAGACGGCTCAGGCTCCGCTGGAGACACGGTCCCACTCGGCCTGGCAGAGGCCGGTGATCCTTCCCCCAGGACAAGCCCAGGCAAAGATCAATCCGCCCGCCAGGGCCGGCCCGTCGGCCCAGACCCCCTCCCTTCCCCCTCCGCGTCAAACTGGAGCCCCACTGTGTGCAGAACCGAGTTTACCTGGGTTTCGTCCCAGCCGCGTGAGAGCGCGCAGCCTGTAGGCAACTCCAATCCAGACCCCAACTACTTTAAAATCACGTAGGAATCCTGGGTTCCCTGTCTAACTCACAGGAGTCACACACACACACACACACACACACACACACACACACACGCACACAACCCCTGTTAAAAATGCAAATTTCTGGGCTCCAAGCTGATTTGGTCCGGAATCTGCATTTTAAACACAAGGGCTTCCCGGTGCTGGGGACTGGTGGATTCTGATGCAAATCCCTTTTCTAGCAGCTTCGAGGGAGCCCAGAGGGATTTTTCCATTGTCAGATCCAGAGACAAATCTAATACTAGGACTTTATCGTTTCTTTGTTCCCTTCCCATCTCTTCCTATTGTTTTCACGTTTTAAGCATGGTGAGCAGACAATTTTGAGTTTGATTTTTCACTTATTTCATCAAAAACTGTTCATGTTTGTACATGTTTAACATCCTAATGGTTTCAAAATAGTCTATCAAGTAAATGTGCCAAAATCAGTTGTTAGATATTTGGGTTACTCTGAGATCTTTGCTATGATAAATAAAGGCTGCTCTGAACAGCTTTGTTCATATAGCTTTTCTGTTCTTATTTCCAGTTACAGAATTAGAAGAAACAGGGATCCTGGCTCCTGGTCAGTTTTGCCAAGTCCTTGAGTGAGGGTCTCCAGCTCTGTTCAGGCCTGCTTGGCCAATATCGCTTCTGCATTCTTTTTTACTACTTTTTTCTCTTTCTCCTTTTAACCTGCCTGACATTGTACTTTAATATTAATGAATATAGCATGCCAATGCCCTGGGGTGGATCCCCAGCATTACCAAAACAATGGACTTGCATACCTTCTATTTCTAATGCTTCTGCTGTATTTTTCTGGTTGACTTCTACTACATTTCTCTTTACATAAACTGTTTAGGGATGGGGCTGTAACTCAGTGGCAGAGTACTTGCCTGCATGTGTGGGAACTGGGTCTTTAGCATTGCATGAAAATAAACAAATAAAATATTAAAGGCATGCTTTTCATACACAACTACCAAAAATTAAAACAAAAACAAACAAACAAAAAACCTTGTTTATCCCCTTTGGCAATTTTCTGTTGAGAATTTTGTTAGTATTTTTATATATTGCTGTAAAATTTACATTTTGCTTTGCTTCTTAATTTAATCTGTGTTGTACTTATCCCTGTTGTTATGTTATTTTCATCCTAGATGGTATGGATTTCATTGTAAAGTTATTTGTAATTTTTTATTCTAATTTGCATCTTTTCCTTGGTAATTTTGTTGCCCAAAATGGTCAAGTGCCCCTGAGTTCAATCTTGGTACCTCCTCCCTCAAAAAAAAAAAAAAAAAACAACAGATTGTTCTATAAGTTTTGTGTGTGTTGTAGGTTTAATTCCTTACCTCATCTAGAATTTTATTATCTGGTATGTAGGGAAACAGTCCCACCACGTCACTATTCATTTTGACTCAAAGTGCCATTTTATTCCCATAGTTCTTTTGGGTCAGTCGATCGCATGAGCTCTTCTGAAATGTGGTAGGATTTGCTTCCAGTCTCCATAATCCCTTCAAATAGACCCAGAGCTCCCTGTGTGCTGGGCAATGTAGCATTTGAGTATTCCTGACATTTTACAGTTTCAAGGATGGTGCTCTATTTTACTGACTTTGATGGGTTTTGCCTTTGTTTGTTTGGCACCCGGGGGATTGAACCCAGGGGTGCCTAACCGCTGACACCTTTTAATTTTTTCTTTTGAAACAGGGTCTCACTAAATTGTAGAGGCTGGCCTTGAACTTGAGACCCTTCTATCTCAGCTTCCTGAGTTGCTGGGATTACTGGTGTGCACACCAAGCCCAGCCTACTTTACTGACTTTGAAATGGTCATCCAAGGGCTGGGTGCAGCTCAATAATACAGCACTTTGCTACCATCCTACCTGCACAGGCCCTGGGTTCCATCCCCAGCACCAACAAAGTAGAAAAAAGAAAAAGAGGAAGAAGAAAATGATGGTCAGGATTCCTTGAGGGACTCAGGATGGAGGGAAGGTTTGCCAGGGAGAAGCCCTGTAGCAGGGGTCTGGTTACCATCACCCCTTCCCCGGGGCTCTATCCCTGCTCAGACACAGTGGTGCTGTTTGTTGTTGTTTTTTTGGTTTTTTTAATGTTTACTTTTTAGTTGTAGTTGGACATAATACCTTTATTTTATTTATTTTTATATGGTGCTGAGGACCAAACCCAGGGCCTCACATGTACTCTACTGTTGAGCCACAACCCAGCGCAGCGCAGTGGTACTGTTTTAAGTGACCATTTCATCAAAGAATTCTGGGCTAAAACATTTTTTTAAAGCACTACTTCAGAACAAGTTTTAACATTATCTAGATCTTTTTCTCCTTTTTCAAAACACTATCCAAAAAGCACAAACGATACAAACTGAACCTTTGGAATGTTCTAAGAATAGTGCTGTTTTCCTTGTATTTCTAACTGCTTTAAATTTTGGAGAAATCTGAATGGCTCCCAGACCCACTTGGCAGTATTATTTGGGGTCAGAATGATCAATGATGCTCAGGGACTTTAACAGGAATGGCACAGAGATGGAACTTTGGACCCGATGGTGATAGAAATGCAATCAGGCCAAGAAAAGCAAACACAGGAGAGTAAGGCTTTAACTGGGGGGTCTGACCTTGGGGAGAAGGGAGAGGGCAACGGGGGAGGGGTGGTCAGTCTGCCCCTTCCCCCAGCACAGGACGAGGCCAGCTTTTCACCTCCTAGCGGAGGTGGGGGACTTCTGTGATCCTACGCCAGGATCTGGGTCTCCAGGGTCAATTTGATTCTGAACAGGAGGGTGAGAGAGGTGATTTCCTTGTGCCACCAGGTGGAGGACAGAAAAGGCTTCTAGGAACAGCTGTGGTTTCTGTCCCCAGAGCTTATCCACTCTATGGTCCCTGTGGTGGCCCCTGTGTGTCTCAGGAAGACTTAAGAACTGACCTTATCCTGTGAAGGATCTGTCCAGGGAAATGACTGTTAGCTGGTCCCCAGAAAGCTTGCCAGGGCCTCTGGGCAGGACCTCAGCCCCCTGCAGAGGGACGGCTGGCTGCCCCCTGGTCTCTGTGAGTCGGTTAATTTCCCCCAGATTCCTATTCAATTTCAGTGATGGCCCCAGAACTCCAGACCCCAAAGGATGTATGGATGCTTCATATCCCCTTTGTTTTTCCTTCTTTGAATTTTTTTTTGTTCCTTTTTTTTTTTTTATCTTGCTTTAGCAAAAATCTGTCATGCAGTATTAAATAATCAGGCGAGAAACAGCGGAAACAGCATCTCCTGCCTTTTGTTCAGGTGTTTAATGGAATCACTAAATGGCTCCCTGTCAAGTGTCATCGATTTTGCGTTGACACATGTTGCTTTCTTAAAGCAGTATCCTTCTACTCCCTTTTTTGAATTTTAAAACGAGGAATGAATTTAAAATGTTAGTTACTGGGACATCTAGGCACATGATTCCTTCAGGTTTTAGTCTAAATCCCAGTGTCTTCTGCGTGTCCCCCGGTCTTGCGGCTCAGACTCCTGCGTGTTGAATGAAGGTCTGAACGTGCCTGTGTCTGGACATTCTGGGCTTAGAATGTCATGGAATTATATCTGCAGGGATGGCAGTGGGGAGGGGAAGCACAATTTTGTTGTCACTTAAGTTTTTTTTTTTCCTTTTCTTTTTTGACCAACGTTTGAACCCTGGTCGGGCCACTTTATCTCTGAGCCACACCCTCCGCCCTTTTTCTTATTTTACTTTAGAGGTGGGGTCTTGCTGAGTTGCTTAGGGCCTTGCTAAATTGCTGCAGCTGGCTTTGAACTTGTGATCCTCCTGCCTCACCTCCCAGCAATACCTAAGATTTCTGACAGTCTGCCCCTCACCTAACCTTGTCTCCAGGCCAGGCTGTTGCTTGACCTACCAAAGGGAAGAAGGGGTCGGTCGCAGCGCCACTAACCCTAACTTGAGGTGAAGTGTCCAGCATGGAGATGAGAAGCTGGCGATGCTGAAGGAAGCTCTTGGTCCTGCCACAAGGTACCAGAGAATGGGCAGGGAGGGGAAGCTGCCGTCCCCACAGTGCTCCCTGGGGAAGTGCAGCACGGAGCAATGCACTGATGGGGATAGGTGCCCGTGCCCCCAAGGATCTGGGGGAGGCCTGATAGAAATTCTGAACTGTATTTACTCCTCCACACCGACACAGCCAAGGTCGGGAGCTCTGCCAAAGCAGAAATAAAAGCTTGTTACCAGCCATTACGAAACCTGTTTTTTAAAAAAGAAAGTGCCATTCAGAAGCATTTACACAAGTGAGGATGATTGATAAACACAGCATCACGTGGAACACAGTCTGCCATGGAAACGTAGAAAAATGATGTTTCCGTTTGGCTATGGAATGACATTTGCTGAAGGCCAGTTTGTTGAAATGAAGCTTGACTGGCCCATTTGATGACGGCTCGATTTGTCCAAGAAATTATTTGTCACATGCACCAAATATACTGATTGTGCTTTTAGGAGCCAAACTTGGTTACGGATGACGAAAGAGTCTTTTCTGTACATCAACTAAGCTAAGATAGACACGGCGGCCAGGAACTAAGGAGAGAAGCTTGACACTGCTGTAATGAAACAAAAGAGCACGATGCAGGATCGCTCATCCACAGAAAGGACAATCGTCCCCAACCGAAATGCTGACCTTTCGCTTGTGACAGGTTTGTTTGGGCTCCTTGTGACTTGGGTGTGTGTACCAGGGATTGAACCCAGGGGCACTTTACCACTCAGCCACATCCCCTGCCCTTTTTCTGTTAGGGTCAGGGTTTGCCTACATCGCTGAGGCTAGCCTTGAGCTTTTCATCCTCCTGCTCAGCGCCCCGGGTTGTCTGGGTGGCTGGCCTGCACCACCACTCCCATCCTCCTGGACACTTCCTACAGATCACCCCGAGCTGTAGCCTTTTAAGCTATTCTTTGCTAATTCATCTGATGACACATCGGCCTTACTTTTGCACTTCTAGCAATTAAAATGGGATTGAACTTGAGGTTCAGTTTAAGGTTAATAAAATAAAAAGTGTAAAATCAAGAGAATCTTTACAAAATCAGAATTTTTACCATTGGTTGTTTAATGGATTTAATGTTGGAAAATCGAACTTTTTAGTGAATCAGTTCACTTTGAAAAACAGCCATCACTGGAAATTTTGGGCTGTCACCACCAACCCAGAAGATAAGCTGGTACCCTTAGGTGCCTGTCAATGTGCTGGCTTCTGTAGGAGGAATGGGGGCCAAAAGCTGAAGGTTGGATTCTGACCAAGTCACCTCTGTCTCTCCCCACTTCCAGAGCTACCGACTTCAAATGAACGTGGTTTTGTTTTTTGTTTTTGTTTTTGGCCCCGGGGATTGAACTGAAGGGTGCTTAACCCCTGAGCCACATCCCCAGCCCTTTTAATTTTTTAATTTGAGACAGGGATCCACTAAGTTGCTTAGTGGCTTGCTAAATTGCTGAGGCTGGCCTCAAACTTGAGATCCTCCTGCCTCAGCCTCCTGAGTTGCTGGGATTATAGGTGTGCCCCACCACACCCGTCTCAAACTCTAGTTTAAAAACAAGACAGGCTGAGGCTGCTCCTCAGTGGTGGAGCATTTGCTCAGGTTCCATTCCAGCACCAGGAAACACACACACACACACACACACACACACACATTATAGCTCAGATTCTATGAAAACAACCACAAAGCTCACACTGGGACAGCCCCACCCTGCAGGCTCCCCCCAGGGCATCTTCTGCCTCAGGGGCTGCCGTTACCCATAGAGTTCCTTGCAGAGCAGCGAGGTCAGTTTCTTCAGGTGGGGGAGGCTGCTGGAGCCCGTCTTCACGAAGTCAGAGTCCAGGGTGAGCTGAGTGCTCAGATAGTCTTGGATAGCTTTCAGATGCTCTTCGGGAAGCCTGGAGAGGAAAAAACGAAATAGAAGCAATCACAGCAAGGACCACGAAGAGCGGAGGTTCCTTGGTCCCAGGCTGAGACGTGGCCCTGGCGGAGAATGTGTGCAAACCTGTGCAAAGGCCCCTTGGCCTCACTGCAGAGGAGGCCCAGGTAAGAGGAGGCAAAGGGGTCCAGCAAGAGCAGGTATCTGTCTTGAGGCTTGGGAAGTAGCTGTCCTTTAAAAAGAAGACAGGCGGGGTATATCCTGCAATCTCCCCGCCTCTCTACTCACAGGGCAAGAGTCAGAGGGCTGGAGGTCGGACATGGCGAGGGGCCGGGTCTGGCACGCACGCTGGAGAGCTTGGAGTTACCCCAGGCTCCTGGAGAAGTCTGGGTGATGACAGGGCTGGGCATGTAGGTGGCAGAAAGGCTGTCCAGGTGTCCTGGCTCTGCTCTCCCTTGTAGGGTCCCAGTTTCTTCAGTTTAAAAAGTGCACGGGGACTGGGCACAGGGGTGCACTCCTGGAATCCCAGCAATTTGGGAAGCCGAGGCAGGAGGATCACAAATTCAAAGCCAGCCTCAGCAATTAACAATAAAAAGGGCTGGAAATGGGGTTCGGTGGATTCAATCTTTAGTACCTGCCTCCCACAAAAAAAGTGAATGGGCTGGGCACAGTGGCACAGGCCAATAATCCCAGAGATTAGGGAAGCTGAGTCAGGAGAATTGCAGATTTGAGGCCAGCCTCAGCAACCTAGTGAGACCCTGTCTCAAAATAAAAAAATAAAAAGGACTGGAGATGTCAGAAAAAGAAGACATGGCACAAAGATATAGATTATGTTTATCCAAAAAGGTTGATTTTGCTTGGAGATGTCGTAGTAATTAACCTGTTACCTATGACCTAACTGATGAGATCTGATTGATTTGCACAAAAGAGCCCAGATAGTCCTGTAACTGAGAGTCATCTAAAGGCCGTCCTCCGTGTAAAAAGGAACTCGGCCACCAAAGTAGATGAGTTCTGAAGCAGACGCAGCATCTGAGTTCTAAGGCTTAAAGTGAGGGCTGGCGGAGGGTACCCTGCTGCCTCTCCCCGTCCCTCTGTCCCTCCCATGATTCCTTGCTCTGTCCCATCTCCACATCTGAGTTGGCTGAGAAACAAACCCAGGCAGAGACCCCTCCCCTGCCCCACCCTGCTTCTCTGCTCCTGCAGGGAGACCAAGGGGGCGACCTGGGCACACGTGTGCAAGTGTCCTGAAGGACCATGGCCCAGCAGGTGCCCTCAGCCCACTCCCCACCCCAAGGCCTTCCTGACGGCTGGGCCTCACGCCCTGCTTGGCCGGGCAGAACCCCTGCACCTGCACCCGCTCCCATCAGTAGGAGTCAAGTGGAGTGGGGAGTGTGGAGGGCACCTGGGGGCGTCCCTGAACTCCAAGGAGTTCACTGCATTTAGCATCTTGACACGGGAAAATAGAAACCCCAGGAACAAGACAACAGGGTCTCCATGGAACTTTGAATAGTCATTTAGACGTGTGTATTGGGAAAATCAGGACCCGTTATCAACCGTTAAAACTCTGACTATTCATCTCTTTGGCAAATAGCACAGGAACTCAAGGATCATGCACCAGATGCCATGGTGTGGGCCTAGAGAAGAGCCCGCGGGTGTGTCCCAGAGGGAGGAAGGACAGCAGGCATCTTAGCGGTCAGTGCTGGTATTGTACCCCCAGGTGCTTCCTTTGTGTTTTGCCAAATCAGAGGGCAGGGGTGCAGCCCTGGCAGCTTCGTTTGTGAGTGGGGGTAGCTTTTCTCACAGAGAACAACAACAACAAAATGCTTTTGAGTAACTAATTCACAGGAGACAGGGTACACTGACTCATTAATTCATCCAACATATGGGCCACAGGCTAGACCACAGGCTAGGCCCGGGGGCATAAGGGGCCCTTGTGTAGCTTCCTTCCTGTTACAGCCCTCCCCAGGCCTGTGTGAAGAGGCAGAGCCTCTGAAGTGTAAGTCATGACTCCTTTCAGGAGGTACCTTCATCTCCTTCCAGCCCCAGACCTGTAACGAGGCTGGAGAACCACCATTATCCAGCCGGGAGGGGAGGTGCGGGCCTCACCGTCGGAGAGGCTGTGGGAACCAGCCAGCAGGAGCTGGGGCAGTCCCTTGGGACCAGGTGCCATTCACACTCTGGACTATACCACGGAGCAATGTCATAGACACAGCACTTCATTTCTCCACCACAAAGGAAGGAGTGCTGGGACCGCCTGCACTGCCCGCACCACACCTGTCTAGCGCTCTGACCCGTTCACGGTGCCGTGGAAGGCGGCCCGCTCCATGCGCCCCACAGCAGGAGACAGCTGTCTAGCAGGTCCAGGCTGGGTACGGGCAGGTCCCCTGCTGGGGAACCCAGACACCCCAGGGTAGTAGAGGTGTTTATGGTAGGAGAAGATGCCATGGTGGTTTCTGGAAGTCTCATGGGGGACTCAGAGCACAGGCCTCCAGAGTTCTGGGGTGTGTCTGCAGTAGAGAACCCACTCCTTGCACACCAGAGCCTGGGGAGTCAGGCATCTGGCCATGGATACCACACCGCCAGAGCTGCCCCATCCGCTGGCACCCTCAGGTCCACTGTTGTGAGGGTAAGCTCAACAGTGACCTGTTCTAAGATGGCAGTGGGACCTCAGGGAGGCAGGCACCCCAGACCCTCAGCAGGTCCACGTCTGCTGCACCAGAGTCCTGCTTATGAGGTCATCTTATGCTGTGAGCTCAGGACAGTCCTTCATGCCCAGCAAACAAGGCCTCAGACGAGGGGACAACGCCCAGGAGCTGGAGGTCTGAGAGCTGAGGGAGGGTTTTCCAGGCAGAGAGAACAGCACCCTGAACCCCCTGTGGTGGGGTTGAGTTTGGCCGGCTGGTGACAAGAATGAGGAACCCCTTCCATTTCCCTTCCCTTCCTCTCCCCGACCTCCATCCTCCTGTGCTCAGGGGAGCAGGGATGGCTGGACAAGTCCAGGGCTCTCTTGGCCCTGGTCCCTGCTGGGTGGGCCTGGGAAGCACCGGGAGGAGGGCGAGAGGGCAAGAGGGATGAGGCAGGAGCCAGGTCTGGCTGCTGAGGCCCTGGCATTTGGGATCCCACGACAACACCCCGCTCTCCCCGCTGATTCCTGCAGATCTCTCTGTGTAAACCTCCTGGGAGCTCTCAGTTTAAATGAGCTCAGGAGCCTGCGGTGTCCTTTTAGGTGCAGAGGACCCCATCCTGGAACTCAGGGACAGGGTGGTCACAGGTAGAATGTGAGCCTCAGGAAGAGCAGGGATCCTCCGCAGACTGCATGGGAATGCAGGGCGGGGTCAGGGCTCCCTCAGCCCCGAGTGGCCAGCTCCTCCCACGTGTGGCCCCGAGCGTCCACTCAGCCCCTGGAGATGACCAACTACTTCAGCCAGACCCGAGGCTCAAGTCGACAGCCTCAAGAGCAGCAAGCGTCCAAGGCAGGGAGCTGCCGTCTTTGTGTCTGCACCTGATTCCAACCCGGGGGCAGACTCACACACCCCCGACCCACACAGCCAGGATCATGGCATCCCCTGTTTCTAGCTCTGGGTGCCCATTCCCTCTCCAGGCTCTTTTATGAATGTCACCACTTTGTCCTGTGCCCCCTAATGGGGCAATAATTCTGTGGTGCCCTCCTGGGGCCTGAAGGGTATCCCTGTGTGGCATGAGAGCAGGGACAGTCACTCTGGGCCCTGGAGCAAACCTTTCTGAGACTCAGGTGCACTCTGTGGAAGGGATTGTTGTGAGAATCTGTGGAATGAGCAGGTGTGCCTCCTGGGTGACTGGCACTTGGGATGGCTTTAAGAACGCTGGCAGTTGTGGGTGGTGGGCTGCTGTCTGCCCGGAGGATAGCAATGGCCTCCTAATGATACAAGTGACTTTGCGTTCACCAAGGGAATGACTCGGGCTCCTTAGAGGATCCAACATTGAACAACATAAAAACATTCCAAAACTTTTAAAGTAAGCAACGAGCTGGAAGATAGATGTTTTACCAGCCTCAGGATGATGGAGAAAGGGCTATTACATAAGGCGGTCCTAAAACTTGATGACAAAAACAGTAAGATCTTGATAGAAAAGCAGGCAAAGAACAAGAGTCTTGAGGGAGAAATAATCTTGTCTAAAAACATAAAAATTGGTTCTTGGCCAGGCATGGCCGTGCACGTCTGTAATCCCAGCGGCTCAGGAGGCTGAGGTGGGAGGATCGTGAGTTCAAAGCCAGCCTCAGCAAAAGCAAGGCACTAAGCAACTCAGTGAGATCCTGTCTCTAAATAAAATACAAAACAGGGCTGGGGAGGTGGCTCAGTGGTTGAGTGCCCCTGAGTTCAATCCCTGGTACTCTACCCTCCCCCCAAAAAATTGTTTTTTGGCCTTGCTATTAATGAATCATATGCACACAGATGTGGATGGCCAGAGAGAGGTCATCATTCCGGGACTGGCATGCTCCCCAGAGCCCCAGCTGAGTGCTGGATGCACCACAACTGGCCTCCGAAGGGCCCTGCCAGGTGGACACTCACCCACTGGTGTCCATGCTCTGCAGCCGCTGGAACAGCGTCTCGGAGAGGCTGGGCCGGCTGACCTCGGCGGCTCTGGGATTCTCAGCTGCTGGAGGAAGCTCCTTGGCCTCACAGGGCCCAGACAGAGGGATGTTTCTTGGTGGCAATTCGGGTGGAGACATGACGCTTTCTACCCAAGAGAACAGCAATGTCATTGGTGAGGACGCTGTGCACGCAGACCCGCCCCCATACCTCACCACAGCCCTGTGAGGTCTGGGCCATCGAGTAGCAGGTCCCCGCCTGTGCCCCATGGCTCTTCCGCCTCCTCACTTCCTCAGACTCCCTCACCAGACAGAGCTTCCTGCAGCAGACTTGGCTTTCATGATCTTTGGGCCAGGCCTCGTGCAATTGTCTGTCCCACTGTGAACTCAGCCAGCACCTGCCAGGTGCAGGGGGCAGGTGGCCTGCAGGACTGCTGGCTGGGACACACTAAGCCAGGGAGGTTAGCAGCATAGAACCTCCTTAGAGGGGCTGGGGCAAGTGCCTTGGGCCAGGTAGAGGATAGTCCCCAGAATGAGGCCAGAGCACAAGATGGACCCAGGATGGGGTGGCAGTCAGGCCCCACCGACCGCTCCTCTCTCTCCCCTGACCCCTCTCTCTGCGCTTTCCTTTCTGCCCTCCCTCCTCTCTTTCCCCGGACCCTTGGAGATGCATTGAGAAAGTGACAGGGTGCCCTCGCTCAAAGACCTGAAAAGCTGAAGCATTCGCTTGGAGCTGGCCCGAGAGCAGAGACTCTTGCCCACCTTCTGTAGCATCCCCTTTCTTCACGGACCACAAACACACAAAGGTCATTGAGTCCCCCGGGCCCAGGAGCCTGGTCAAGCACCGTCCTACTCCTAATGGCCACCTCCACCCTCCAGCCGCAGCACTGCAGAGGGACACTCTCCTTAATGGGTGGCACTTCATTTCCTGTCCCTCTGGAGTTCTGAAGGTGCCTGTGCGTCTGTGTTGAGCACTGGGGACTGCCCTGAGCCAGGTGGGACCCCGTGGGCTGGGTGCACACTGCTCTCGTCCCATCCGCCAGTGGATGGCCTCGACTGGGGAAGTGAAGCCAGGGTCATGGGACTGGGCTTCTCTTTCCAGCCCTCACAGGAAGCGTATCAGGTCTTTGTCCAGACAGCATCCTAGAGGGCCACAGGGGGGTGGGTGGCCCGTGGGAAGTGAGATGGTGGCATATAGAGGGCACTCTGCAGGACAGCCTCCCAGAGGTCAAGGCCGTGCTCTGGCCTTGGGACCCTGGTGGCCATGGACTCTGACTGCCGAAGATGGACCTTGCTTATCCCCAAAGGCTCCTCTTCCTTGGATCAGGGTGGGGGAGAGGGACATGGCCTGCCTGGGTCCCCTTCAGCCTCCGTGGAGTTGTGGTCCTTTAGGAAAGGCCTTGTCTGGCCCCTGCTGTCCCTAGCAAGGCCCCCAAGGTGGCTCTGCAGCCCATGAGCTGTGCCCCCACTAAGAGGGGGTCTCCAGGTGGTGGGAAGAAAAGGGGGCATGGAGACCCACGAGCCAGCCCCTAGGAGAGGGACAGAAAGGGCGGCCAGCTTGAGCTGACGGCAGCCCACAGGGACAGGCAGCGATTCTGGTCTAATCACTCCCTCAGGGAAAAGCTAACTAGCTAAAGGGCTCAGGTGGGTGACTCCTGGTCTCTTTTTAGGAAATGCACGTTAGGGAAGAGAGAAAGCCTGCCCCACAGTGAGCTGACTTCCTGACAGACTTGGTTTCTGTGGGACTTGCCCTGTTGGCTTTGTCCCCACGCCATGCAGGGGGCAGCCCTGAGGCTCACCTGCTTTTAGGGACCTGTCTCTGTTTTTTTGTTTTCCTACAGGTTTTAAGTGATGTCCTCCCGCCCTCCGCACACTTTTGATGATGTAAATAAATATCTTTATTTTCCTTCCAGTTTGGTGCCAGGATCGCCCTTCCTCATGGTGAAATTATGATGATGAAAATGGTGGTAGCTGCATTTACTGAGTGCTTGCTGTGTACTGGGCTCTGAACACTACTTTCATCGACTCATTTGGTCCCTGTGACGCTCTGAGAGGTATATACAGCACTATTTTTAACTGAGTCTCCTTTTTGTTGTTGTTGTTCTTTTGTTTTTTTCTGGTGCCAGAGATTCAACTTAAGGGCCCTCAATCCCTGACCTACACTCCAAGCCTTTTCTAAGTTTTTTAAATTTGAGGCAGGTCTCTCTGAGTTGCTGAGGCGGCCTTAAAGTTGTTATTATCCTCCTGCCTCAGCCCCTGAATCACTGTGGTCACCGGTGTGTGGTACCATGCCCAGACTTTGCTGTCTCTATGACAAGAAACTGGAGGTTCAGAGAGGGTAAGTAACTTACCTAGGGCCGCAGAGCTGATGAGCTGGGGAGGAATTCCACTCCACGTCTGCCTGACTCCAGAGTCTGTGTGCCTGGCCTGTCCCTAACCATCAGGCCACACTCTCTCCTTCTCATATGGGACACTCTAATCTACAGCCCTTGTGGGGCCTGGAGGGCAGCATCCCGAGGGCACCTCCCAGCCTCTGGCCGTCCTGCCCACCCCTTCCTACCCGTGTCCTCCTCCGGGTCGTCGACGGCGTCCTCCTCCTCCAGGGGCACTGGGTACTGCAGGTGCGTCACCAGGCCCATGTTCTCCTTCCTGTAGAACTCGATGAGCTGGTCCAGCTTGGTGAAGAGCCTCATGGGGACGCCTTCCGATGCCTGAGCCAGAACCCCCAGAGAGAGGCCCATGCTCAGGGACCAGAATGTCACCCAACCACAAAGGCCACCTGCAGCGGAGACCCGCGAGGCCAAGGGAGTGACTGCGATCCAGAAAAAACCTCAGACTCCTACGCGCACGCCCTCGCCTCCCGTGACCTGGCGCTCTCAAGGCCCTTGCAAGGGCCGCCCAGGGTCCTCTTAAAGGGCTTTCTTTCTTTCAGTCTCAAGCTTTTATTTTTAAAAGTATTTTGCTCTCCAAGTAGGACATTTTCACTCTGGCAAAATTAGAAAACTCAGGCTTTCTTACACAAAAGAAAGTGCCTATAACCCCACAAGCCTAAGAGATTTACTTTCCATAGTTCACAATGTATTTTTCTAGAGCGTGTGTGTATGTGTGTGTGTATGTGTGCGTGTTTGTGTGTGTTCATTCCCCCACAGAGACGATTTAAAGATTTTTTTTTAATTAAAAAAAAAGTTTTTTTTTAAATTTCCGTTTCTTTTTGGTGTTGAGGATTGAGCTCAGGACGTTGTATGTACAAAATTCATGATTCACCACTGAGCTACACCCCCAGCACCAAAGGTCATTTTTTAAAAAATATTTTTATTAGTTGTTGGTGGACTTTATTTACTTGTTTTTCTGTGGTGCTGAGAGTTAAACCCAGTGCCTCACACCTGCCAGGCAAGCACTGTACCACCGAGCACAACCCCAGCCCCCCGACAGGTCATTTTTTTAAAATGTAGTTTTTAATGTTGTGTGGTGCTGGGGATCAAGCCCAGGGCCTTGCACATGCTACACTAGTGCTCTACCACTGAATTACATCCTCAGCCACAGGTGTGTATGTGTGTGTTTGTTTATTTATTTTTTCATACCAAGGATCAAAGCCAGGGTCTCCTGCGTGCTGGGCTGGTGCTCTACCACTGAGTTACGTCTCCAGCTCTTTTTATTTATATTTATTTATTTTGATATTGGAGATTGAACCCAGAGGCACTTCACCACTGAGCTCCGTCCCTCGCTTTTTTGTTTTATTTTCAGATGGGATCTCACAAAGTTCCTAGGCTGGCCTTGAACTTGCACCTCCTGCCTCAGCCTCCTGAGTTGCTGGGATTACAGGCTTGCACCACTGTGCCTGGCTTTAACAATGACTTTCATGTCCACTTTGGGTTTTGGATTTGGAGCTCAGGGGCCCACTGCTCCCGTCGGGGTGGTCAGCTACCTTCTTGCTGAGGAGGATGAGACCCACCACTTGTAGAACACGAGCCACTGGGGAAATAGATCTGGTGGGAAAGCCCACCTGGTGGGTGAGCAGGCTGGATCTCAACCCACCCACCTCCAGGTCAGATCCCTGCTGCTGCCAGCGTGGAGAGGCTGACTTGGAGGCGGGGCAGTGGGCTGGCCTGAAGGTCTTCGGATCACAGGTGAGCGGGATAGACTCAGACACCCAGCACCACAGCAGGTGTCTGGGAAGCACTCAGACACCTCCCTGAGCTCCCGCGTGGTCCAGTCCTAGTTGTGTGAGGATGCACTTTCCTTCCATGGGAGGATGCTGCTGTCATTCGCACGGGACCTGGTCATCCATCTACCAGTCCTGCCTCTCCACCTCTGCTTGTCTCCGCTCTCTGGTTGTCTGTCTGTCTCTCTCAAAGTGTGCCTGCATGCACGTATGCACTGCACCCCGGTGTAGTGTGTGGATGTGTGTGGATGTGTGTGTGGATGTGTGTGTGTGTGGGTGTGGGTGTGTGGATGTGAGTGGGTGTGTGTGGGTGTGTATGGGTGTGTGTGTGGGTGTGTGTGGGTGTGTGTGGATGTGTATGGGTGTGTGTGGGGGTGTGTGTAGATGTGCATG